CTAAATTTTGGTTCCCGCTATGGGGTGCTCTGTATGTTAGCAACAAGTGTTTTCCTGGGATTTACAGTAAATAGTATTTAGACCATAAAGGTTTAATGTTATTAATAAGTTATGATTGGAAGATTTAACCTGAAGACCAATTAAATTTAGGCAAATTAGTTGAATGATAGATTCATAAATTGTGGGTAGTAGTGGGACACCTAATGAAAGGTCATGCTATCCAACACATATACACATACATATATCCACATGCACATGTGTTTTTAAGTAACCATATGCACCCGCCCACATATACATATATTCATATGTAATTTTGAACCTGTTCCTATGTCTACATTTCATAATTAGCTCTTTCTGTTGATTTAATAGTTTGCATTGATTTTTGTATTTTATTATCCTGATTTTCTCTTCCAAACATAGCATGCACCTATCTCTAAAACTATTGGGGTTGTTCACAAAACCTAAAATTTTCCAATTTATTTGGGGATTCAGACTCCTTTTCTTCAATTCCCCAATTTTTTTTATAACTTATTAATAACATTAAACCCTAATGGTCTAAATACTATTTACTGTAAATTCCAGGAAAACACACTTGTTGTTAGCATACGGAGCACCCCATAGTGGGAACCAAAATTTAGTTACAGACAACGAAAGACCGTAGCCATAAATAAACTCCAACCCCAGACCACTCCCCCACTGTAATAAGATATGCGCCCTCCCCAGTCTCCAACACAAGCCCCTTATCATAAACAATGTGTCTCTCGGAAGAGGACTGATATTGAAAATTCAAATCCCTACTCCCAGACAAAGACTTAAAAGCTGAAGTTAAGACCAGCTTGAAATAGACTCATGTTGAGGTAGTTTTGGTTTTCTGCTGTAAAAAAAAAAAAAATATGCTGTTATAATAAATACATTGAGCCCTCTGTGGATCAGTTTTAATATTACTAGGACCCACCTGGATTATATGCCAACAGATCTATTACCTGTAATATATATATATATATATATATATATATATATATATATATATATATATCTTATATATAAACAGGACTTGCCAAAGCAGTATGATGACACTTTCAAAAGAAAAAAAAAAAAAAAAAAAAAAGAAAAACTGTAAACTTGTGAATACACATGTCAACCACAATGTAATACTAAATATAAGATTGTCAAAATTGAATGAATATTGCTAAGAAAAAAAAGTCACTAGGATTATCAATGTAAATAATAACAGCAAAACAGCCAAGTGCCCAGTCTTAAAATTTTTTTATTTATTTTATTCTTAAATATATCTATTTTTGTCTTGGTTTTACGTTTATTCTCCATTTTTTTTTATATGCTTGCAGAATACAAAACTCTTACTCATTAGTTGCTTTCTTTATTCAATAATGTATATGTATTTCTTTTTTATATACCAATTTTATTTGAACTAGTATCCTTTTATTAGTGATTATAGTTACATTTCAGTTGCTATATACCCACTGGTCCTCTTCAGATGCCCGTTGTAGTATAGAGTAAATCATTTTCATTCTGTTAGTCATTAATTCTTCTTAGTTAATTTGTTGTTATGCCACTTCTGCCCGTTTCATAAAATCAGAGTATATGAATTTCACCAAGTGAACTCACATCACCCAATAGACACTTATGGCCATAGATGCAGGGAATTTTTACAGCCTTAAACTTAAACGTTGATGTGTTGTATAGATACAGATGGTTATAAGAAAAATGCATTGAAGTAAAAAAATAATTCTTGTTGACAAAGTTTAATTTCAGATAGAATCCTGATGAGAGAGATGAAAAAAAAACTTTTGAAAAATAAATATTTCAAGGATTTGGACAGATGTTATGAATAATTATCAAAATTATTCAGGACTTGTTTATTATCAATAAATTCTTTTCAACTGTAAATATTTATTTATTCACACAACAGAAAAATACTTTAATTACTTTCTATTTTTAAATCTAAAAAAGTAAAAGAAAAAAAAGATTAATTTTGTTGTAGTTCTGCATCATCATCACAATTTGAAGAAAAAAAGTTTTGTTTTGATAAATTTTACTTTTTACTCCCCGTACCACTTTTAAATTTAGTAGCAATTTAAATCTACAATAAATTAGTAATAGGTGGTCTGATCTGTTTAAAATAGAATACAAAATGGAAATTGTTTAGTTTTACAGATGTGCGTAAAAAAACTTTTTACACGGAAAAGAAATCTAGCATCAGAACATTATGCAAATTCAAAATAAACATGGCAAATTTCTTAACCCTTTTTTAAAAGGCAGATAAACTCCTAGAAACTTAAAAGGCAATGTAAGACTTTTATAATACAGTCCTTAGTTAAGAGAGGAAAATCATAACTTTTTCTACCACCATAAATATGTTAGACGTGCATACACAAATAAAATAGTGAGGGCCTGTTTTATAAAATATTCACTACTGGATATTGATCCCCGACTTCGTGACCAACATTGTGACTAAAACTACATGTCGATCTTCCTAATTTCCCTTGAAGAATTAAAAAAGACCACTCCTCTTTTCTCATTTGGATGACCGAGGTGTGTAATTATGATTTTTAAATAGATCAAAAAGACTAAAGTTGCCCAATAAGAAACAAACGGACACTCAGAATGAAAACAGAAATTGAATAATACAATTATCGCCAAAGTTAGAGAAATTACGATTTATCGACTTATTTTCATTACTCCCCACCACAACCAACCACTTTTTTTTCATAATTCCTTGTTCAGTACTTTTATGATTTTTTTTAAATTAAATATATATATATATATATATATATATATATATCTTGGCAGCAATAATATTGATGCCATTTTTTTTTGTTTGTTTGTTTGTTTATTTTTTACAGCCTACTTTTTGAAAAAATAATCTAGAAGTAAAAACGATCTTACGGGAAAAAAAATTACGACTAAACTTCTCTAAAAAGCTTACAAACCAAGGCGATACTTAAAAAAAAAAAGAAACAAGGCAAGACTCTTTGGATTCGACTTGTTACAAGCTCAATTAACGAGTAAGAAGTGCATCTGCTACTCTCGACTTTCCGTCCTTTCTTACACTGTTGTGCTATTGATCCTGTAGGAAAAACAACTTCTCCCCCATTAAAAAATCTCAAAGTCAAACTAATAACTTTCAATAAAAAAAAAAACAAAAAAAAACTTAGCATCCGGGACTCTTTCTAGCTTTTTCTTTTCTTATATATATATATATATATATAAGATTCTTTTTAAATAGAGAACTTTATAAATAGAGTATATTTGCAATATGAGGTAAGAAAAATATTTTTATATATTTCTTTCTAGTCTGTCCGAGTCTCTCGCGTGGGTGGAAATGAATATCTCCCCACCCTTTCTCTCGTTATCTCACTTCACTACGCCAAAGTTAGGCCACAATTGCTCAGTGCCAGTTTGATTAATACTCATTTTCATGACGTATTTCGAAGCTACAGACCTATTTTTATCAAACCAGTAAATATACACACCGACTATAAATGAAATATAGTACAGAGTGGTTTACCCATTCACAATAATGAAATGCAAGGAAGGGAAGGACGGACGTAGTTATTTCTTTTATCTTGCATCATTCAATCATACGACTACTTGTAGTGGTAGTAGTATAGTTCATTAATTTATTCATTACAAGTTTTTTCATCCATTTTTCTTACACAGTGTTATAATTTAATAATACTGAATAAATAAATAAATAAATAAATAATCTTTTCAACATTTATGTTTATTTTTAGTGCAAAGGATTTTTTTAGCTGAAAAGTGAAAGAAAACCATCCAGTCATGCCAAAAATTAAGAAGAAGAAGCTATTTTAGCTTTGAGCATTTGTTAAGTTTTAAAATAAATACAAGTGTAGTGATGATGAAAAAAAAAAAAATGATGGATGATATTTTTTTTTTATTAGATCACGAAGTTATAAAAAGAAAATGTTATTTTCAAAATTGAAAATAAAAGAATATTATCTGTCTCTATTATTTCGCAGTATTAGTTCATAAAAATGTTAAAACCTTCCAGATGTGCCTACTTATGAACACATAACAACAACAAACAACAAAAACAGGTATTCTGTGGAAAATATAAATAGTTCTTCTTTCGTACTTTAAAATGGTAATAAAAATAAACTTTTACATTTAAATGCATTAAAAAAGAGAACAAATGTATTTTCTAGAAAGAAAATGATTTGAAAACGAAAAGAAAATTTAATGTTTTTTTTTTTTTATGATTGTTGTGCTTACAGAACGAACTACTCACAAAGTAATTTATCACATTTCGATTTAGTCAATACTCAATATTGTAGTATTATTGTTTGTTACCTACTCGAACACAGGCTGCTAAAACTTTAAAAAATGATTAAAAAAAAAAATCCCCAAAATCTCTAATTCAATTTTCCTCTCAAGAGATAAAGAAAGACTTTTTCGAGATTTTTGATCGAAACCATTTCATTGTTACGTATGTCTAAAAATAAAAATCTTTATAAAAAGAAATGTTTAAGATTAGAATTTAATAAATTGAATATGCTTAGAAAAAAAAATTGCTACTACTAACTAAAAACGTTTTCTCTTATTTCTTATTGTCAGCGTAACAAAAGTAAATAAAAAAACAACAAAATAAGGGATAAAATACTCTTAGTCTTAGAGCACAAACAGTATTTGAAACTAAAAATTTATGCTTACTAAAAAAAAGCAATCAGAACCTTTTCTTGAAAGAGTAAAGAAAAAATTCGAAAAGTAAAAAAGAAAATGATTAATTTAAAAAAAATAAAAAAGTATTGATTATACTGAAAAATACATTTATTAAAAGAAATCCATTCAAGATTGAAGTTATCACAAAAGAGGAAAAAAAAAAGTTAAGTGACTTCACATTTTGGAAGCTTCTTTCACTCTCTTTTTTCCACTGGTATACAAATTCTTCAATTCATAATTTTTAAAAGAATAAGATGAAGCTGAAGTGTTTTGAATGGTGAAGAAATGATGAGACTGACCTGTGCCAGCAGCGTTAACCCTTTCTACTGCCACTTGTGTCCAAGATCCTGGTGCTGCCCCACAATCGATGACCACCGACCCTGGACGGAGCAAATCAAATCGGTCGTCAATTTCAACCAACTTGAAAGCACTCCGGCATCTGTAGCTTTCCTCTCGGGCTCGTTTCACATAAGGGTCTTTTAGTTGTCGCGTGATCCATTTTTGTGAACTGGTCGACTTTCCTTTCAGGTTGTGCGGCTTACTGCTGTGTTTCCGCAGCTTTGATGAAGATGAGAAGTAGCGCTTCAGACATTTCCAGAATTTCAGCGACATTACTGAAGCGCAATCATCTGGGATGATCCAGAGAGCTAGAGAGAGAGAAAGAAAGAAAGAGAGCTGGAAGAAGGGGAGGAGGGAGATATACAGCCGGTGCAGCCACAAAACAGTTCTTCTTTTACTAAACTTCACTGTTACACCATCAGACGGAATATAACAATTCACCCACTAAGGTCCAAAATCGGAACTAATGCACCAAATCAACACGAAATTAGATATTTGTGCACTCAGAGTCGAAAATTTCCGTTTTTGGTTTCGGTTTTGATTGTCTTATACTTGTTGTCCTGTTAGATCCGACTGGAAATCCCAAAGAATAGAAGCAAAACAGAGTTACTTGCCCCTCAAATAATTTAATGGCTTGTTTTTTCTTGAGTATCACGTCATAGATTTCTCCGCATACAAGGATTGACTTTATATTTACGTACTTCAATATTTGTCGAATCTGAAAAATAAAACCAAATGTAAAGCATTTTATAAAGTCAGTATACTTTTTAGAACATTAAAGAAAGTGCTGTGTTTTTTTGCTTTTAAATTCGTAATTTTATCTTGACATTTTGACTTTGAGAATAGCTTTACTTCGACAGAGAAACATGGAGGAGTCACATGTATTTGTGCATTGGGCATGTTGAAGTGGAAGGAACTAGCAGAATTGAACGCGAGAAGATTTTTTAATAGAAATTTTTATTGAAAATCTTCAGAAAAATGGCATCTTTAAATTCAATGTACAAAGCTTACGTCATAAACTGTAGGATTTCCTCATATAACGCTAATTTTTACCTGTTGAACTTTCAAAAACGGACGTATTCAGCTTCCTCATTCATCTGGGAAAACTGCTACAATTGTATAAGTGAGATATTTTTTTCGACAACTGCTCACAATTGTATTGTGACACAAAATCGAGCAACTACTTTCAGAAGACATAACTGTTCCCTTACAAAAAGGTTTCGTCTGCATCCAAATTTCTTATCTATGCAAGTTCAACAGGTTCGGTTATATTCATCAAAAAATGGCAAAGAAAATGCAGGTAAGAAAAGGGAAAACTGGTAGAAAAGGTAAAAATCCTGTTTAATTACATCGTAAAAACTTTGTTTACAGTAGTACACTTACTTACACCTAACTTATTGTAGTAAATTTTAAATAGTGTTCCAGGGACTTTATACCGGTTTGGGGGAGAACTTTCTGCTATGGAGGTAAACAAAACAGGTTCGTGAGAACTTGGATTGTTATGTTATGCATAAGGGAAAAAATGACATTAGAAGACGGGTAATGATACTGTTCGTGCGGTCTGTCCTTTAACATATTTGCAGCATTCTTACAGAATCCACGATCCGTACGCGTCCTTCATACCACTGCTAGATTTGTGATGATGTTCATTACATAAAAAAATAGAAATATTTTAGTACTGGCCTTGTATAATGTAATATTGTAGTTCTTAGGAGAAAAAAATGAGAGGTATACTGAATTACCTCCCTTAGATTTCTTCTATAAATCAACAGTTTTTTTTTTCCAGAAAAAAAATGTGACCAAGACAAAAATGATAAAATGAAAAAGTTGGGCCTACCACCACCTTTGGAGTTTGCAAAGTTTTTTTGTTAAAAAGAAAACTAAAAAGTAACGACCTCAATGCAATATCTTTTATTTGAACAGTTTTAAAAAAATCACGGATAATTTAAAAAAAAAAAACTTATGATACCACTAAGTTCAAAAAGCAAGAAAAAATGTCTGTTTCATGCTGCATCACATGCCATTCATTCACTTCCTTCATCATTGGATGGAAATAAATACCACTTGAGCGGTATAAAATTCATTTTCCGTTTCTTGAGGAACAAAAACAAACTTAGATGAACCATATATTGTAGACTTTGGAAAATTAATTTTGAATCTGATGGAAAACTTAAGCAGCAATATAAAAACACTCATTCATATCTCACAGACCATATTCTGATGGTACGCTATAAAAATGTCTTGTATACCAAGCCCAGTTTCAATTAAATCGGATGCTTTTTAGTTTTTAGTTTATATAGTCACATTAACAAACTAAACACGTCATCGTAATTTTTCGGATACAGTTATTTTTGTTCCTAAGATTAAAGAAAACCAATTCATAATAAAAACATTTTTTAAATCATGCTATTTTTTCCATAAAATATAAAAATGATAGTGATGCTACCAGCTCGTTACGTTTGGTTTAATGGTCTAAAATTGCAATCTCCTGTTTTTTTTATACAGTTGTTAAAACCAAGGAGCAATTCAGTTTTTTTATACAATGGTCACTTAATTACCACCGAAAGAAAGAAAAATAATTTTTCATCAAATTTTTTTTTTTTTTTTTTTTTACTTTTACACTTAGACAATTATTTTTTTTAAATTTTACTTTTAACAGCATTGTTTATTTGAATTTGAACAATTAAGTTAAGAAGAGTAAGACTTGTTAATTTTTCAATAACAGTCATATTTTTACATTGTCCTTTAATTTTACGACGTTACCTAACTGGGATGTGGGAATCGACTCACGATTTGTTACATAGCTGTCCCCGTCAGTGTTTTCAATTTAAATTTTAAAAGCTAAAGGAAAAATCGAAAACTTCTCATTACTACAGTGTTGATTGTGTTTTACTTTAACCTTTTAGTTTCAATTTAAAAACCCACATCATATTCATCTCCAGAATTTATCCATTTGTAAAAAGGTGTTACACTACACTACAGTTTAGTTTTACAATCTCCAGAAATTGGTTAAGATTTTTTTTTTTTTACTTTAGGTTTTCTTTTCGGGTTTCACAATAATAATTACAGAATCCGAGTTTACTAGAAAAGATGAAATGAATAATGCATCAAGAAGAATGTTTCTTCAACCACATTTCCATGTGCCATGTTAAAAAAGAGAGAAAGAAATACAAATATTCTAATGAAAAATCTTTATGGAAACTAAAAAGCATTGAAGCAATTATAACTGCGTATGGCTTGGAGTCGGATCGTGTGTTAACACTGAGTACACCAATCTTGAACGAGGATGGCTTGTCTGCTTTCCTAGATCGGCATTCGAACTTTGTTTTCCTTGGACACTGAACTCATAATAATGCATGATTATTATTATTTAAAACTTTGACAGTAATGAGTAGGTCTTTTTTTTTTTGGTACTAAGACCAAAAAAGTGTTTAGTTTGTTGTTTTGTTTGCTTTTTTACTTCTAAAAAACTTCTGGGGTAATTTGCAGTAAATTAATTAATTTAAAAAAGTTTCTTGAAAATTAAAACTTTTTACAAATAATGAATTCTTTTCATAAAGGACAGGACAAATTACATCGGAAAAATAAACGACTTATTTTTCCGTAGTAAACTAAAAAACGGTGGATCGATGGAAGAGTATTTTTTTGACAAGCTTCTGAATTTTCGTTGTAAGAAAGGTTTCTAAAAAAATTAATGGTAACATTTTTTACTTTAATAATTTAATTTATCGATATTATTTTTTATTTTTTATTAAATTAATCATTCGTTATAAAACTTAAAACTGACTTCGAAAAAAAGATTGTTGTTTTTTTTTTGTTTTTTTTGGTGGTGGGGGATATATTGTCACAAAAATGGCTTTGCGATAAATAAATAAAAAAAACACCACGTGCCCAAACACTTACTCATCGTTTCTTCATTCTATCTTTTCTTGATTGTTTAAAAAATTTTAATTTATAAAAAAAAAAAAAAAAATCTATTTGCTGAAAAATATGAGCAATGAACCAGACTCTAAAAATGAGAATAATAATGGAATGAATCGAATGTAAATTTTGTCACAAATTAGATGGGGAAATACTTTAACTTTTTGAACTTGATTTTTTTTAATTTATATTTTTAGTATTTTTTTTTTTTTTTTTACCTGATATCCAGAAAACTGGTCGTACGATAGCCAAAAATGGTATAATTTGCCGGAGAAGTTTCAACATCCGTTCTACTTTGACATTGGAATGAAAAATATTTCCATTCAAGATTAAAATCTGAACTGTCGACGATTATTTTCTTTTCACTTTTTCTATCAATGATCTGGCGGAAAGACTACAGCTTGCATCATTGCTTGGAATTTTAAATAGTGAAAGTGTGAAATCCCTTATCCACCCACGTTTCCGTTGCGAGAGAGAAATAGTATCGTAATAATTGTTCAGCTGGCTTGAGTAATTAATGAATGAATAATGAATGAATTCGCTTACTACAAAAAAGTAGACGCATATGGTCAGGAGTGTTTGTCAAATTACGGAAACTAATTCTCTTTGCAGAGTGTATTTTTATGTGTTATGTAAACATCACGCGAGCATTAGAAGAATAAAAAATTGTTTCGTTTTTATGTACAAGGCCAAGCTGTCTTAGTCTTTATTTGTGCCTGATATTTCGAATAAATTTCTCTCTAAACAAATCGTAAACGCTTCCACGTGATCCCAATGCAGATTCAACAAATGTCACATTTTATTAATTATTGACCCAACAGAAATATTAATGACTAAGGTAATGATTTAAATATAAAAATTGGGAAATTGTGTCTTGCTCCTCAACAAAAGTCTAAATTCAACATGATCTCTAAACTTTAAAGTTTGTGTACACTTGTAACCCTAATTAAATATAAACGGGCCCTTTAAATCCATTGTGAAGTTTAAGAAATGATCAGCTATATTTTTTAAATTTTTTATCTTTGATAATTAATCTGGGAGAGCATTTTTCAATTTCTTTTCTTTTTTTGGTGGTGAGGGATCTAAAGTAAACCCTGTTAGTGTAGACCACATAAAAATAGTAAAAAAAAAAAGTGGAAAAAAAGAGATTATTTCCAATTCCTCAAATTTATTTGGTGACTTTAAAAAGTAAAAATATAAATTTATACATTCAAAAAATATTTTTTTTACAGAAACACACTGTTGGCTTTCTCATCCTCGCAAACACTGCTGACCACATGTATCTACTAAAAAGTCAATTCTTTCATTAATTATTATATGAGAGTGCTGAAAAATTCTTCCTTCAACCAAGAGAAGATTTTTTTAATTCCGATATTTGGTCAGATTTGAGAAAGTGGGTTAGGCCAAGAACATTTCAGCACACCCTTGGAAAAACAACTGAACACTTATTTCTCTCTAGAGACTAGTAGTCTCTAACAATATAAATGTGTGTGGGCAAGAGGTTTCAGTTCACTATTTAAAGTTTCAAGTGATGATGCAAGTTGGGATGTCTCTCTTGAGGCATTGGTAAAAAGTAAAAACTGTTATTTTATGAATAATTTTGAGTAGACTAAAAAGATAATGTAAAAATATTTTAATTTTTTCTGCGAGATTTATTTTTATGTTATCTAAAAATATTTTGACCAGTTTTGTATTCTCATCGTTGTTGTTTTGATCACTCTCTCTCTCTCTCTCTCTCTCTCTCTTTTTAACATGTTTTTCACTCTTTGGAATTATAGTGCATTCGATAATTTTTAATTCTCACCTAAAAGATTTTTTCCGCTTTTTTGTCATCACTTAACTGCTGATTATGGCAATTTCCATCACCATAGTTTTCTGGCTCAGCTGTGAAATATCTGCTATAAGAGGTTAAGAACAATTTAGAGAAACATTTTATTGAAAACAACAAAGATGAAAATACTGCTAATAATTCATGAATAAAAAAAACTATAAATCTCAGAACTGCAGACAACACTTGATTTTTATTTAAGCAGTAAAATTTAGGTTGTAAAAATATCACAAGAAATACATAGATGAATTGAAACATTTAGGAATTTAAATAAAAGAATATATGAACAGTAAGATTTAAAGGATCTTTTACAAAACAGTGCACTCAATGCATTAGTCATTCATTGTAATAATCCTAAAAACAAAAAAAGCACTGTTTTGCAATTTGCATTCCATATTTGAAATCCATACTATTGTTATAAATAACACATTCAAGGGAAGTAAGCCATTCTTATATATATATATATATATATATATATATATAATTTTGGTGTATAGCATACAAGCAGATTTTGTCATTAAATTTTAAGGTAAAGTGCATGTTACACGCTGAGATATATAATAATTTATTAAGGCAAAAATGTATTACAATGTGAGATATTTAAAACCTGTAGCAATAAGAATAAAAGACAGTGAAAAAACTGAATGAGGTTGGCTAGATCATGCATATGTTATGCTGTTAAGCCTTAAGGACTGCCTTCAACTAGAGATACATTGAAAACCAAAATTTTAAACTTAGAGTAAAGTGTTCCTATATCTTCATTGATTCTTGGTGTAGAATTGTAACCAACGTTTGTTGTATTTCATTCCCTCCCACTATATATATGATTCCATCAATAAAACATTAATTTCAAGAAGTCCTTTTTAAGGACAAAATGCATAAGACTTTTTTCCATTTTGTCATTTAGTCACCATTCAGTCTGCCAAAATCAGTTTCTTGTAAGTATTTTATATAAATATAATTTTTTTTTTTAACTGATAGAAATTAAAGATGGTTTATTATGCTTCTAAAAAAAGCATTATTTTAATTGAGGACATTATTATTAGCAACAACTAAATGAAAAATAACTTACCTTGTGAACTGATATTGAACTGGTTTCTGGTAATTTTAAATTGAATAAAAAATTTTATATTTTCTAGGCACTATTTAAATTTTCTAAAATGATTTTTGTGTATTTTCAAGAAATTACTGAAATGCATAATTCAAAAAGGAAAAAAAAACCTTGCTTAAAAACATTCCTGAAAAAGAAATTTAGTTAATAATTAAAAAAAAAAAACAAAAAAAAACAAATTTTGATTTTAGATTATTTCTAAATTCAACCTGACGATACTTCTATTCCTATTTATTTATTTTTTTTTTTTTTTTTACTCTCTCTTCTTTCATTTTACAACCCAGGAAAAAATTTCTTGGTTTGCTTGCCACAAGACAAGCCTACCTTTAGATACTTTAGATTAATTACTTACATTTTGTATTGAACCATAGCAATACTTTTAGTTTGTGTGTTTGTTTATTTGTATGAAAAAAATACATATGGTAGTGTATGTACATATGTTTGTATAATTTGTCCACTCTACTTTCAGTAAAGATCAAACCAGATTTACAATGGCAATATTTGAATTGTCATCTCAACCCCACATTTAGGTCCCACTCCTATCATTAAAGGAGCTACATAATGATTCCTACAATACAAAATAGAACCTTTTTTTTCAATTGTATAGGACTGTTGTTTTCCAAGCTGAGGCACTTTCTCAAGTTGATAAGGGATAAAGCTAACAAGTGTTTCTACCGCTACTCCCATTTCTTTTAATTCAATCGGCTCACTAGAACTTCTGCAACAATTATCAGAACTTGTAATAATATGCTTTGTGTCTCAAGGACATGAAAATAACAGAGAGTCGGTATCTAACCTAAACATGGGAAAGTATTCAGGAAAAGTTGGTGGGGAGGAGTCAAGACCACTGTATCCATTCTCTTAAGACAAACCACTGAAGCAGGTTAATGAGTACATGGTATCAGTATACTTGTTAAGGGATTACTGTCCACTCTTGAAAACGGTAAATTTTTGTCACAACAGCAATTAAAAATATAGCCCAGTGGATTAAAAGCATTGATTCGTGAATTTGGTGGCATAGTAACTGTTGAGTTCAATCCCTGGGCCAGGTAGTGCAGACTTGGACTTGGTGGAAAACGGGCAAGCTATAACCAAGCAGTACTAAATAAGAACTAGATGAGATGTCCCTAGACATAGTGGAGCGAGAACAATCTGTCCTCATAGATTAAATAATGGATTGTTCAAAATTCCCCAAAGGTTACCCAGGTCAACAAGCCTCAGATGAAGACCAGGGTGTGCAATGGTTGAAATAATAATAGCAATATGTTTTGTACCATTGTCCAAGTGTAAATAATGTAAATAAAAATTATATTATGCATATAATAGCCCTATTCTGTCAGTAACACCTAAATTAATTCCTGACTGCTAATAATTCCTTTCTTTCTTCCTAATTTTCAAAGTGAAACAAAATTTAGGTAAAAAAAAACAAATTGTAGCTGTTTTATTATGAATATACTTGATCAATCTGGGATTTAATATTTCTGGGTAGGAATAAATTATCATCAGTTAGGTCTACATTTAATATTCAAAGTGAATTTGACTAAAATGAATTTTGTATTAGGAGTAGAACTAGGGTATAATAGGCGATGACTTTGGTACCATGTTTACAGATATAGAGGATTCATTCGTAGATTCAAAATTTCTTTAGCAAGATTGTAATGTTAATTCTTTTTTATGTTTGCAGTTTATGGCTGTCTGATACCTTTGATTTAATAGTTTTACTTTATCAGGGTATTTAATTATTTGTATTTTCTCCTGTAGACAGAGAAAACACGGTTCGTTTAATGGCTTTGAGATTCTAGCCTCTTATAGTATTTTCCATTTAAGTTTGGGTATTTCACATTTGTCCTTTAATTCCTAAAAATACTTGGAATTTGAGGTCATGTTTTGTTTATCTGAGTTGTTGAAGGACAAGATAAAGGTTATAAAAGTGTTTTTTGAAAATATTCATCGTGTTACCAACGTAAAATCTTATTGAAGTTAGAGGATTAATAACAGAGCTAATAGTACACACATATACTACAGATTTTGCTAAACATCTGTTTGATAGTGGGCACTGGTTGGGATTCCTACAACTACACAGATTATTTGTAGGGGACCCAGTAAGGCCCGACTTAATATACTCATTATTTTTGTTATACGTTTTTAATACTTTACTGTTGTGCGATTTAATTATTTTTTCTAAAGTGTTTGTGTAACTATAGCTAAGCTTTAGAGTGTTGCAGTTAAAAATTTGCCTCAGTGAGCTTTTTTTTGGGAAATGTTTTTCAATTAATTCTAATAACTTATGTCTCAACTTAGTATGTACTGATAGATTATATGGGGAGTGTACCATATGATCTTTCTTTTTCTGTTTATTCTTCTGGAAAGACTATTATTCTCCATAAACTCAATTTTTGTAGACCTATAACCATTATTCTTAAGAATTTTCTTATAAGTTGTCTTATGTTTGTCAAATAATATATATATATATATATATATATATATATATATATATATATATATATATATATATATGACAACATCAGTTTCACTATCGCTGTGCATTTCAACTAAATGGACCATAGTATTAATGATAGATGTGTCTTTTTTTTTTTTTATCATCTTCATTTAAATACCAACAAGAATGCCAAAAGTCCAAGTTAAGACATTTTAAAAATAAATTCATACGTTCCAAGTTTAAACAGGGATTTAAGCATACTCATTAAATATAAAGCCATCCGTAATCCCAATCATGGCAGACAACTAAACCAAAACTGCTAGATTTCATCAGTAATATAAGCACATGCAGAAAAAAATCTCCCCAAATTCCCAACGTCATTTTATTCCTAATTGAGAAAGGACAAAAGCATTTCCACAAATTCTGATTTTTGTAATGGCATGCTGTATTGTTTGGCATTTGTACCAGAAGCTCCAATATGAACATTTTAGAGTATTTGGGTGTCAATATGAGGACATTGCAGAGGTTTTGGAAAGAGTTGGATGATATATCCAGTCAACATCATGATGTTTGGAGTGATCACTAGTAATGGCAATGTTATGCCTCCATTCATCTTCCCACAGGGCCTCAGACTCAACATGGAGGCTCTACATCAAGTGTCTATAGGAGGTAGTGCTGTCCTGGGTCAAGTGGGCAGCTGCTGGAAGGCCCTATGTCTGGCAACAGGACTCTGCACCATACCACACAAGCAGGAGAACCCAGTAATGGCTGTCAGATAATTTCTGCAACCACATCACCACTTACATTTGGCCACCTAACTCTCCAGACTGCAAACCCTGTGATTATTATGTGTGGGGCACAGTTGAACAAAAGACCAACAGAACTACTTGTAACACCAAAAATAAACTGACAACAATGATTATGGTAGCATCCATCTTAAACAAGGAGACTGTCCAGAAGAGATGCAGAAGATTCCAAAGTCATCTGGAGGCTGTGGTTGAGGCCAATGGTTTATTTTATTGAATAAATTTACTTTATATTTCAAGATATTTTTTTTGTAATTTTGGTAAATATATCTGTTAAAATGAGATGTCATTATTATTTTCATTTTTGCATAATTTACACGACAATTTATCCATCACACCCTGTATTATTAGTTAGTCTTTTTATCAGTATTATTGTTGTTTTTTATTTCTTGAATTTCTTTCATCGCTCTACTATATCTACACACACACACACACATCACATACATATATATATATATATATATATATATATATATATATATATATATATATGCACCTTCCTAGATGTGCGAGTGTGTGAAAGGGATTATATGTGAGTGGAAAAGAACTTACCTGTATAAGAGAATATAACTATTTACTAATCCAGCCATTCAGTGAGGATCAAACCTACTACACTAGTAATGGTTGGCTAAGTTAGCTTGTTACCAATTATACCAATCTTAGCCTGGCAGAAGTTCACAAATGTACAGCTCACTTCAGTCATAATTATCTATCAATACTATTATGTCTGTCACTACTAAATGTATACAACTGAAATTAAGATGAAAGAAATAATTATCAAAAATTAATACTAATAACAATACTTTAGATGAGAAATTCAAACAACTTAAGATTGCATATATTTTACATTTTCTTTTCATTTAAAGATATTTAATAATAAAACCAAATATTTATGCCAATAATTCCTTTTAAAATGATAATTTTAAATGTATATCAACTAGCTATTTTATTCTACTTTGCTTTAATGATTTAATTAATTTCTCTGGAAATTGAACTGACAACTCCTGACTTCATGATTAAATGTACTTGGCACTTCATAGTACTCTGCTATAGAAAGAGTTAATTCTGATTTTTTCTTTTCCAGTTCCAGAAATTTCTATTGACAACATGTATCCAGTTCAAGAAGAAATACATTCTATGTCCTATAAGAAAGTCATGAGAAATGTGCCACAGTCAAGTAAGCTATGTTTAAGAATATAGTGATTTATAAATTACAAAGTATTAGTAAAGTTATATCTTACAAAATATTGATTAAAATATAGTGGTCATGAACCAGAAGATTTACTTGGTAAGATATGTTTACCTGAATCTATCAATTTATAGTTTAAAAGATATCAAACCACAACTCATTCTTGTAAACTCACTTGTCATAATTCTGATCAAATGTTATACAGCAACACATGATACAGATACACTAAAATTACAATATAAGAGCTCCTTATGAATAACACCATAATACTTAGCAAAGCAAATTATAAAAAAATTACAAATGTTAGAAGCTATCCATAATGAATCAATACAACTAATACTCAACAAAACCACTTATGCTTCTCAGAATCCACATTATCACATTCATGCAACACTGCTAACATCCAAAACTTAAAATTCTAAATCATTACAAAGATGCAAACAATCACAAAGTGAACTTTGAATTTCATTCTTTTTATGTGTGATAACGACAGAAGCCAGTCAAAAGCTTGAATCTTAACAAGAAGTGACATGAATTGTGAACAGTTTCTATATGCATTTCTCATCCAGTGATGCGGAAAATTGTAAAAGAATGCATTACTGAAGTTGTAGGGTGCTTAGACATCAATAATGTTTCAAAGTACAACCAACTGCCTCTTTCAAGGAGAACCATAACTGATCAACAGCATGAATTAACCCTCAACATAACAGAACAACTTGACACAATACCCCAAAAGGGAAATATATATTATTCAATAGCTTTGGTTGAATTAATTGATACTACTGAGTCAGTACAGGTTTTATACTTCAGGCCACAACAGAAGATTTTATTTTGTTACAAAGAGTTACTGACTTTGGGCACTCTTGTGGGTAAAACACAAGGAACAGATATCTTCACAAATGTTTTGAAGTTGGACTGAATTTGGTTAACTTAGTGGTTGTATGCACAGAGGGTGCACCTTCCATGACAGGAAAACATGATGGGGTTTGTTGTACGGAAAAAGAAAAGTATTATTAGATCCAGATGCACTCATTTCTTTTCATTGTATCTTACATGAGCAAAATCTCTGTGTTAAATGTACTATTTTAAGTGACACTTTGCAACATGTTATAAGTATTGTTAACTATATTCATGCAAATGCAACACTGCATCATCAGTTTCATAACATGCTAAAGTTGGATGATGAGGTATTCAGTGCAGATTTGCTGTATTATTTTAAAGTGCATTGGCTATCGCAGGGACAGGTGTCAGCAAAAATTTTATCTTTGTGGCAACAGATAATTAAATTTAATGAAGAACATAATCAATAATTTAAAATTTTTAAGAGAAGATTTCTATAGAAATGCTGCATTTCTGTGTGATATCATGTCAAAGCAAAATGACTTGAATATTTCTTTAAAAGGTATAAACTATCTATATATGATATGTGGCAAAAATCCAAGCGTTTTAAAAAAAAAAATAAAAAGCTATCACTTTTTCAAAACTCTTTTTCAAAAGGAAATTTGGGACAAACATTTTCTCCAGTTAGCAAAGGTCATTAATGAACAGGGGGATTCATCCAATCATTTGAAGAATACACAACTGTTATTGACTTATTAATTGGAGACTGCAATGAATGGTTCACTGACTTTGAGAATCATGACATCACACTCAAATTAGCATTTCAACCTCACCTATTTAATGTCTCCAAGGTTCCTAACAAACTACAGATGGAATAGATTGAGCTCATAGAAGATGACATTTTTAAAGTCCTTATTTGATACTAAGAAAGATCCAGTTGAAATATGGAAAAATGCAATAGAATACCCATGCTTTCAGCAACATGCACGAAAAATGCTTTTCAACCACTTATTGTTGTGAATCTACATTCTCCTACCTAACAAAAATCAAGATGCCCTTAAGGTCACAAATGATGGATACTCATCTAGTGGATCAGCTGAAACTACAGACTTCCATGCTGCAAATATTCAAATGCTTTCCCACAAAAAGCAGTTCTAACAAAGTCATTAAAAGGTTAGTTAACTTTAGAATTTACAATTTTTTTTCATTTTTCAAACTTAGTTAAATTTTTACAAAATAATGTAGATTTCGAAGAATATCTAATTAAAGTTTCTTGAATGAGGCCCTATTAGATTACAACTAACTTAATGTGGCCTTCCAACATATAAAGGTTTCCCACCTCTGGTCTGGAGCTTTTGAAGTGCTACAGGTCTGTTTTAATTACATGAAAAAATTGTTATTTAATTTTGTGTTTGTAAAAATCACATGATATATTTTATGAAATCAGCTGTGAAAGTGGATTTTTTACAACTCCATTTATGATGTGCTCCTGAAAAAAAAAATCTGATTTTTTTTTTTTTTTACTAGGGCTTCATGGTTAGGCCAGGAACTTTTCAGCATCAGCTTATACTAAACTAAATTTAGCCTAGATAAGATCATAATATGAAACACCTAGTAAGAACTGAACTCACTATATCACTGTATTTCTACCTTGCTACCCACAACATTCCACTCAGATTTCATGGGCACAATTTACAGGTGCAATTCCTATATTGTGTGATACAAAGACATTTATATACTGCATTTCTAAGCTAGATGTCATTATTCTACCTGAATAGTATAAAACTATCTCCAAGTCAACCAATCATATTCATATTAAGTTAAATGTATTCGTCCTGATCACCTCAACATATAATAAAGCCTTTGATTTCAAGCCAGCCATCTTGGCCACATCTCAAGTACTAAGATTACAGGAGTATGCTACATGCATTTGTTGAACAATGCCAAAATATGGTTGGAACTAATGATCTATTAGAGAGAAAGAAAAGAAAAATTTAAACAAAAACAGGACGTCATAGTTAAAGAGGAAACAATTATGAAGTGTATGTATATATATATACACACACACATATATACCACATTCACATCATATAATCATTGGCTGGTGTCATAGTTGATGATGTTTTGAACCTGCTGGACAGTCTTGTGTATACTTACAATATCTGATTATGTTTTTCTCTTGGCCATGGATGACAGAGGCCTCCAGCTCATTCCTGATTTTGCACACAAAGAATATAGCCACTTTCAAAAAGCTGGCTATCTCTGAATTACTGTGGTTGATAGCTAGTATCAAAATCAAGGCATGGCATGCTTAAACTTCCTGTGTCAGATTGTAATCTACCATATTAATGCTCTTGGTATGTCCAAAAAAGAAATGAGAATGTTAAAATTTGGTGCATGCAGCATAATTTTACATTAGGTCATCTTTATGAGAAGTTGTATGAAGTTGGTGGGCTGTGTTTTCTTGCTGAAATGCTATGTAGGCATCAATCAAATTTAAGAAATATATTCAGGTTTTACTACAATATGTTCAACAAAGAAATATAACTGACTTCAAACAACTGGACCATGAATAAGTTCCTGTAACCTAAGAGAACTTTATTTATTTATTTTTATTTTTTTTACTGAAAAGCTACATAGATTGCTGCCATATCCTATATGGAATAAAAAACTAAGAAATCAATTCAGGTTTTACTACAATATCTTCAACAAAGAAATATAACTGACTTGAAACAACTGGACCATGAATAAATTTCTGCAGCCTAAGATGTTTTCAAACAAATTTTTATGTTTTAAATTTTGTTAATAAGTGGAGGTTTTGGTAGACTATATTCAATAATTTTCTTTCAGCTATTGATAAATGTTTTCCTGATAAAGTGAATATACTCATTAACTAAATTTCTTTCATGCATGAGAATATTTCAGATTTTGAAACTTATAATGATGCAGCACTTTGAAGATCTTTTATGTGAAACCTAAAATGGAAACTATAGACAATGCTTTTATAAGTGGTTTAATATCTAATATCTTCTGTTAGTGACTACTTGCAAACAAAATACTTGATCCTGAAATTAGTTTTAATGAAGTAAATGTTACAGAAAAGTCACAAAACAATTAAATCATAAGCTGCATAAGAGGCAACCTTTAGTGCAGCAGTATCTCCTTCCAGTTATTCATGAAGAAACATCAATGGTAGTGTTGGATCATCTGAAAAACCAAACTTTAGCTGTTGCCTTTAAGAAACAAATGTTTATTCTGTGGGAATAATAGCCACCTTCACTAGACCTATCTAATACAGGAAGCTACATGAATTAGATATGACAAAAAGGGCCATTTTGTAAAGGTTTGTCATTCAGTAAGCTTGGAACTTTTACTGCATTTCAGTCTCTTGCGGTGATAGAAACTACCTTAGAAATTGTATTTACTACTACTATCTGGATTAAATTAAATGGAAAGAGAATCTAAGAACTCACAGACATGAATAGTAATGAGAGATTTCTATACTGGTCCTTCTTCAGAGGTTACATTTGCACACACATCCTGGTTCTGTTACTGCATCTATGGCATCAGTCCTGAGTATGACGATAAGCTACACCTGGAAGCAAGGCCTCTGATCAAGAGATTGAAGGCTTTGAGGAGTGTGGAACAACCTCTTAATTACTGTTGTTCCCATGTCCTCCCTGACCCAGGGTGGTAGCATCTGTTAGGATCTCAGCAAATAGTGAACCCCTCACCCCCCAAAATACCAGCAATGCATTTTTATATAAAAAAAAATTACCAAAATACATATAGGAAAATTTACCAACAATAATGCACATACTAATGAATTGTAGTGACTTCAGCCAAATTCATTTAAAATACTACCAAACGACCATGAACTTCTTCATGACATTAATCCATATAATATCCTACAATTTATTAAATCAAACGGTATTCCAAAATATAACTTCAACAAAACTACAACACAACTACTACATAAAACACCACCTCTAGTAATTATGTCCACACAAATGTATATGCACAAAAGCCATGTACTTAATTATGAAAGTAGAATAACATATATTTTTATTACTTTCAAGCTCTCAAGAAAATTAAATTTCAGCATTAAATGATCCATAAGGAGTTGATATGCCATTAAACAGACAAATTAATCTATGTTATCAACTTTATTGCACTCAAACTTCTGGCTATTGTTTGATGAATGTAGCTAAGATGTCTACTAGAATGTCAGGATGTATGCACTGTCTTTTATGTGTTGATAAACAGAACTTTATAAAAGAATATCAGAGTATCTGTATGAGTGTTCATGAGGAGAAATCTCCATTAAATATCTGTGTATTGGTTTCTGCTAATCTTACCACTGATGGTAGTCCTGTAGATACTATGCCAAGGAAATATAGTTCTTCAGATAAACACTTTATTGCAGTGGAAGAGAAGAGACTATTTGCAGAAAGGATAATTAAGCCAAGCATTTTCCCTTAGTAAATTCAAAATATAGTTATCTCTATTGAGCAAAAAAAAAGAAAATAATAGACTGTGAACTGTCTGTGAAATGCTTATCCAGCATCAAGGACTGATGGACTGGCAAACGCTATTCAATTGACAAAATCTTTCTACCAAGCCTTACACTCTTTTTGAAGTCTGTGGCCAGCAGTACCAGTCTTACTGAATTCCATTTGCTTCTGTAGAGAACAGAAGTGCACCTCAAAGGACATTGAGAATGGGAAAGAGTAGTTTGTTAGTACCTGAGTGTACACCTATGAAAATTGGATAAGCAAAGAAATGCTGGTGCAAGTGTCAATATCCTTCAAATATTAAAAATATTGAAATAAAAAAAGCCAATTATATTTGGAGTTAATTACTGCTATATTTTCTGTCTTGTCTCTTCACAGATTAAAGTCAGGTATCCTGTTATTTCTTTGTCTATTTTGAAAGGGTCTTCAACCTATTTTAAAACTTATTTTTTTGCTATTGTTAGTTACTCTTTTAGATTCACATACACACACTTTAATTCATACTTGGCTGTTCTGTATTCCACTACTTATATTGTTGAAAACTATATGTGAAATTGCAGATACCATAACAGAACATATCAAATTTCAAAAGAAATATTAGTAATAAGCACAATTTTTCTGGTTTTTAAACACCACAAATAGGCAAGTTATATAAAAAAACTTTAATGTTTATGAATACTTCTATCTTTTTTTTTTAAGGAGAAATTTCAAAATGACTAACAATTTGTCAATGATTTTTATGTCTTTTGCAGTTGTATTGTTAACAAGTGCTATGTTTCAGACTGATACCAATTCTTGGTTAAAGAGAGGTGTTACCTGCAGTTCTCTTTTAAGTGTCTCTCTCAAGCCACCAATTTTGTCTTTCTGTCTTAACCGACCAAGGTAAGATAAACCAAAACTTAACAGATCTGGATAATTTTACTTATTTATTTTTTTGTTTTTTGTTAAAATTCCCTGCACAAGACATGAAAAGTTTACTTGTTGAAGTAATAGTAAATATGATAGTCACACAGTATAAAAATACACTCAATGGCACCCTATTGTTAACTGTGTAGATCCATGGTATATAGTGTCAGTTAACACTTGCACAATAGCGTTTCATCTGAGTGTCAAGTTACATCAAAGCTGCACAATCTGTTCTCAAAATATTCAAAAGGGTTCCATATGTTCCAGGCAGACCTTATGTACATATGCTAATCTTTTGAAGCAATAGAGGAGATACCATTTTGGTTGATAATTACAATGTTTTGACCATTCTATCCTTTAACCATTTTGTGGTGTCTGTCATTTCCTATAACCTTTTAATGATTTCAAACTGAACCCTTCTATTTGGTTCACAAGGGTAGACTGCTCTCCTTATGTTGTCTATCAAAGATGAAAGTATTGTATCTATTTGTGACACTGTCAGCACGTGGTCAACTCCCAGTCACAGTGCGAAACTGTAAGGTTTGTCCCACCGGCGTTTTGGGGTTGTCTCTTAGTCGTTGCCACCAGCTTGTGTCCCAGTCGATCGGTGGTCGTCGCTACCCAGCAGAATCCCTTGGTCAGGGTACCAATATGTGACACTGGCCCATCCAGGGTTGAATCCTGGTCATCGCTACCCAGCGTAATCCTTTGGTCAGGGCACCAAGTGGGATGGTTGGTTGATGCTAACAGCTTCACACCAGCTGCAACCGGTTCAACACCAGCTCCGTCATTCCCAGCTCACTTCCAATGTCTGGTTACCAAAGTAACTGCTTTGATCTCAAGTCTAACCTACCCACATTGTGATTTTGAATTTAGGTAGACAAGATCAATCAGGCGTCGGCCGTAATGTAAGATGAGTCCAGACTGGAGGTGATATCGCACAAGCATAAAGAAAAAGAAGCAAATAAAAACCCAAGAGGTTCAGTATGTTAAAAAAATAATAAATTAACTTTATCCATCTGTTATATACAGGAATGTGTTTTTCTCCCAGCCCGTTTTCTATGAAGTGTGACACTTCTATGCTTCTTAAGCAAGTTCTGGTATCCTAAGTCAACTGGTTTAGTTTTTAGGTGCTGGCTTGGCTTCATTTGTCAGTATAACTTGCTATTGGTAGGATAGGCGAAGTCAGTGGTCATGGAATCTCTCAGTCAGCTTCTGCGAGACAACACTCTAGTTCCTGTTACTCAAACTGACTGTCTCAACTGGAACTCAACTCTGACTGTCCTAACTGTTGAAACAGCCTGAGGACGTTCGTTTATATGGGTACTGACCAAAAACTGGTGCAGTCTGGGGTTTTCGGTAATTCTCGATTTCTGACAAGAATTCTCTTTGTTGTCAGGCCAGGAAAATTGATTACTTCCCATTTTTGGAAAATTGATTACTTCCCATTTTTGGAAAATTGATTACTTCCCATTTTTGGAAAATTAATCACTTTCCATTTTGTTTTAATTTCTATGGTAAATTAATTAGCCAATTACCATAGCTAAATAGTGTCACATATTATATATAAAAGAGGAATTAACTGATAAGAGATATTCCCTAGCATAGATAATTAAAAAGTTCAGTTTAAAATTCCCAAAAGGTTACAAAATATGACAGACACCTAAAGAAGGCTAGAGAGTATTAAAGTTAATATGCTTTGATTATAATAACCAACACAAGGACAATAGTCTGAATTGATTAACATGCCATAATAATAAGAATTATTCATCTTAGAAATTCAGAGAGAAAAAATGAGATTAATAGTACAAAAAAAATCTTTGACTATTAAAAACAGTTTCAGAAAAACATTTAAGCACTTTGGTTCTGTAAATAAAGCAAAAAAAGTATGTAAACATTAAAAGAAAAATTAGGAAATGCATGTTTTATTTATATTTACTAAGCTTAGTCTGGTGTAAGATCACAAATATGTCTCCTAGTGGAAGATAAACCTGGCAGTAATAAGATAGTAATAATACTAATAATGGTTTATCTAAAAAAAAAAAATTATTAGAAAATATGGATTCAGGTTAAAAAGAAAATGTCAGAACAGAAGGATTAATATTATAGATATTGTTTTTCTTTTTGGTTTATGTGAAATACTTTTTTAATTAAGAAATATTTGATTAGGATATTAGTTTCTCAACTCAGATATTTTTTAGTTATCACATCATATACAGGACTTTGATTTTAGCTATGTGGTGGAAAATTTTGCAAAATAGATTTTTTCCTCTTGTTTAATATTCATCTGTGTGATGAATATAGTGTGTTAAAAGTTATTTTTATTAGTTATTTAAAACTAATAAATGCTTACAAAATGAGGGACATGTATTTTGCATTAGAGTACAGTATCATCTTTCCTAGCTGAAATCATTTTTTCTATTTACTGTTAATAAAGACAAATACATATGAATGTTTTAATTTGCATTTATACCAAATTAAAGATGATGCAAGTGAGGAACAGATTGAGGAGACTGAGCAAATTAAAATCCTAGTGGAAAAATTTGTGGAAAGCCCTGTTGGTGATCAATGTCTTGGTGGGAATTTTTTGTTTTTAAGGTTAATTTAACTACTTGCATTTTTTTTTTATAAGAATTCTTTATTTAGGTACATAAAAGAATTTCAGCTTTGTCTGTTCTGGTAACAACCCTGGGTTCACATCTGGATACCAATTTGCAGTTTTGCTGATTATAAAGCTAAAAATTTATTTTCCTTAAGCAATGATGCTTAAACATGAATCCAACTGCTGATTTCCTTGCTTGACATTTGTTTACTTACTGTAGATACAAGACAATAAAATTATTATGATTTGTTTGTTATCATTTAATAAAAAAGATTAAATTGTATCATAAACTTGTTCTTATATTCTTCATTTTTTCCTTGTTTTAACTCTAGCCGAATGCATGATTTGCTACTACAGAGTCAACAGTTTGCTATCAACATTCTTGGGAAACATCAGGTTTGCAATGCCATCTTTTTTCCTGACATTTTTCAGCATGTAACTTACTCTGTCTCATGGCTACAAGTCTAAGATTAAACTCACTACAGTAGTAATGGTAAAGAGTAGCTTGTTAACTATTGCTCTATGGCTTGGACTTTCAAACTAGTTGGCAATACCATCCTGTGGGTGGTGGAAAGATCAGGGATAAGGTGATTTTGTGAAAAAAGGTGCTGTAGGAGTTGCTTAGAAAAGGGGTGACATTAAAAACAAGTAGTACTCTCCCTCTTTTTTTTTTTTTTTTTTTAAAGAAAATTCACGTAGACTTAAGGAATACATATGCTTTTCAAAGAATAAAATTAACATAAGTTTAGTTATGCATAAACACATTCATTTTATTTTATTTTGTTGTTAGAAGTCTGAATGTTTGTAACTTGCTGATGTTATCTGGACAGAATATGCCACACACTAGCTAGATCAGAGAGCCAACACTTACAGAAGCCATATATATAGCCACAGATGTTCCTCAAGCAGTATCTTATCTAATGGCATGTAAGAAAAACTGGACTATGTTTTTTTTTTTTTTTTTTTAAAGTGTTAAATTAGTTGTTGTTTTGAATTAGAAATATATCTAATACCAAAAAAGAAGTGTCTTAATATAGATCTGAGAGAATGGTGCCAGGGATTTGGACTGGGAGTTAAGTGGGGAGCTAGAAAAAAGTTTGTGAACCACTGCTCTATGGTGATATAATTTGGACCTTACATTTCATTTTTTCTTATTTAAGAAGTCAAACAATGAAAATATGGCTTTCAATATTGGTGATTCCCACAATATAGGAGCTTCTCAGAATGCCATGCTGTTTACATCATAACATACCTTGCGGTATGTGTTCTAAACTTGTAAATTTAGAACACATACCACTGCACCTTGGCAATAGTTTTAGCATTCTCATAATAATTGCCTTAATTTTATATTTTGTTGCTTTTTAAGTTCTGTGTGACAGATATGAACTGATGAATTTAAATGGTAATACACTGTAAATCTATCTAAATGACAACAAACACATCACTTTTTGTGACAATGCATTTATTTCACTTATTGTGGGGATAATTATAATATTTCAAGATAGGATCAAAAGAATAATTTGTTTCTTCAATTTTATGTTATAATATAAAAATTGTTTGAATATTTAAATATAATTCTGATCTGGGATTGTAATATTGTTAAATGAAGATAACTTATAAATTTTTATAAAAGCATGTAGAGTAATTGGTCATGGTTAAATGCAATTGGCTGAAATGCCCAACAAACAGAATTGACAAAGTTTGCAATAAGAGAAAGAAAAAAAAGAACAGGGCAAAAATAATATTTGAGCAAACAATATATGCAAGGCAAAGCAACAACAATAAGGCAAAAGGTTTACAAAATAAGAATGGTGTTAACACACAAAAGGGGATACAGACAAGTGAACAGAACTGAAATTTGTATTTTATTGTTGGTTTTTTTTCTCTATAAATTGAGAAGGGGAAGTTTTTTTTTCTGAAAAAAGTTAGTTTCATATATGCAATTTTCCTTAGTGCTTGGCTGGGATTTTTAAATATAATACCAGGCTTGAGCCCCCAGGCCATTGCATTTTTTTTATGGCATCATTGTTTAAAAAAGAGAAAATGCCTAGGGGGGCTTGAGCAATTTTTTGAATTCAAATCATTTGGTTTTGGTGTACAAATTTATTTGCTTTTTTTTTAAATTGTTTAAATTGACAAATCATTTGGTTTTTTAAGTCTTTCTTTTTTTAAAAAAACAAGTCAAATTTTTTAAAAATAATTGTCCTAATTCATTTCAAATTTATTTTAATTAAAATTTTTGCTCATTAATCTCTCCTTTTCTTAAAAAAAATAAAAAAAGTCAATTTTATCAACAACAAAAATCTCTTTAAAGGACAGCACAGTTTCTTGGTTTGGTGATAAAGTGATTTTTAATGTTTAAGTGGACAGAGAATCATAGCTTTTATGCTTGTAAAATTATTATTTTTTATTCAATAGGTGACATGTGTAGGATTACATTTAAAAAAAATAATAGTGTTTATTTTATGATGATTGAAGAAAAAGAAAGAAAAATAATATATTTTCTATCATAGAAATATAAAAATATAATTTTTGAAAAGATTACTTGTACTTCATGTCTTTTTGTCAGGATGATTAAGTTAATATTTGAAATAAGAAAGTAGTAGAATATAATAATGTTAAACTAAAGTTCATTAAATTTTTATTTCTTTTGCAGGCTAAACTTGTTGATCTGTTTTCTAGTCCAGCTCAAGATGGTCTGGATCAATTCTTAGGAATCCCTCATCATGTTTCAAAGGAGGTAAGCAAACATTAAATTTTAGATGTCATGTAATGATAAAATAAAAATTGTAATTTAAAAAAAAATTAGAATGAGTTAATTCCCCCTATGAATTATGCCTGCACTAAAAATTTTATCTTAAATTTTATAATTCAGGATAATTTTGTCATCTTTGTTGTTTTATTCTTTTTGCAATGTTTTGGCCTTTGGCTTTCCTCAAATGTCTTTTGTACTCTGAAATGTGGTCAAATCTTGTTCCAGTCTGACCAACCACATACAATAATTAAAACATGTTGTCTAACAGAATTCACACAAAAAATTTAAAAAATGTGTTAGAGATTTTTAAATTCTTGTAAACTTAATGTTTATTATAATAATTATCAAGCTTAATTTACATTTTGAAGTTATTCTTGGGTATAATTGGTTAATCTTATATAGGCCGGTAGACAAAAAATAAATAAATGTACTATTTAATAAATAAACGGAGCATCTACTCAAATATGAGTACTCACTAAAAAGAATGTTTAAAGTGATAATATTTATATATATTTTTATTACTATAAAAGTCTGTGAACATTGCTTGTGTGTTTGCCTGAAGTGATATATAGAGAGTGGTGAAAGAAATATATGAATTTATTATCATGTAGGAAGTTGGGGGGGGGGATAAGGAAATGGAGAAAAAAAAAGTCTCTCTCTCTTTCCACCTTCCTGTGATTGTGTGCATGCATACTTATATTTCTGCTTTCTTTAAACAAACAATATTTTTATTTCAACTTTCTTCAAACAGACAATTTTTTAATGTTGAAAGCAACTTCAATAACTGCAAATAAAATGTATTTTTAAAATGTCTCTACTTTCACAAACTCTTTATGAAACTAAATGTAAACAGTAACACAACAAGGTTGACCCAACAGGTTACAGGTGGTCTAGTATATAAATAACATTGACCCTATTCAATTCTTATCAAATGAGCAGTTTTGGGTTATCTGCCGATATCCATGATCTTTGCAGCAAAAGAATATAACTATGATTCACTTGTCAATCTGCTTGCCAGAAAATATTCAGACAGGAAATAAAATATATATATATACTGCTTTATTGAACAAATGATAGTAATTTGGATGAAACAAAGTATAAAAACATTGCTGTAATCCATTAATCTGTATATCAGCATTTTATAAGTGTTGAATAATTACATTCATCCTAATAACTTGTGGCCTTGAGTGTTGTGTATTTCCTATCAGTAGCAGTTGTTGATGATGAAGCTCAGGTGAAAACTAGGACTTTAAATGCTGATTTTTAAGTAAAACTTCAGCTTACTTATACAATCTTCCCATTTCCACATTTTTTTTTGCATTGTCTTATGCCAGAGTAATTTAACCCCGAAGCCTGATTGATCAGTTACTAATACAGTATTATTGAATATTTTACTAATTCAAAACAAATACTGTGTAACAATAAATCATCAGTGAAGAGAAACAAATGGCTAGTACAAAGTTGCTCATGTGAACAACCTTATACGATTTATAAGTTAGGCTATGTAATTCTCTTTGGTGATTAAACACCAAAACATTGTACTAGTAAACTGCTACTACAAATTGAAGTTTTGTTCTTAATTGCTATGTGCCTTTAGGCTGGAGTTGATTATGACTCTCCACAGCTTCTTTTTCTTTAATATCTGTAAACTGCCATAACTATTTTTGGGAAAAATAGAAGTTGTTTTTCATTGTCCTCTCTACAGTTTTCATTTCAGAGTTGTCCTCTTGGACTGGGTAGCCTACTAATGTGATTGTTCCCAGTTCCTCATATTATTTTTCTCATAGCTGCAAAGAAAGAAAAACTAATCATTCCCAAGGGAATTAATGCAAACTTAATACAACAGCCTCAGCCAGAATTTAAACTTGGCCAATTGATTTCATTTCCATTCTATCATGGCTACAACAAGTCATGCCAAGAAAATTTATTTACATTTATCCTGACAATTTTTTTTATTGATAAAAGAAACAAAAATTGATTGTGGAAGATTTTCATTAATCAAATTTTCTCTCTTCTTGAACTTTAAAAAATATCATCAGTCTTGATCAGGTGCAGTTGTAAGGCCACTGCACAGCTTGGGCACCTGACCAGCTTCTTTCATATGTCTTGGTTGCATGCTAATGTCTGAATCTCTGTGAATGGTCTTCCAATCTACTCAGTGACATCAGCCCATTTTTACCCCTGTCTGCCTCTTCTTCTATTGCCTAAGGTGGATCTTTGAAGGCAGAAAGATTTTTGGCTCTCATGATGTGTCCATACCATTTCAAATTTTTGTTCTTCACAATGGATATAAGTTCTTCTAGTGAACCAATTTCTCATCTGATGGTGTCTCACTGTTATTTCTGATGCAGTCTACATAGATGCCTAGAGTTGTTCTATAGCATTTCATTTCTAATGTTTGGATTTATAAGTGGGTGATGAATCTTTAAAACCTTGGAAGTAAATGTTGCAATTGCTTAATATGTCAAGAAGAGGCCAACAAGTGCAATGGTTTGCTTAAAGATAGTGGAATTATGCAAAGTAGTAGTATTCTTGTCTAAGGTATTTACACAAAAATATCATTGCAAATAATACAGAGCATTTGTTTGTATCCCAAATATTTTTTATTTTGAAATCACCTTTTTCCTACTTTTCTTAAATAATATATAAATATTATTTTTCCTTTTTTATTTACACCTTTTTATAGGGTCTCCCTGTTCTTTTTGACACTCCTGTATTACTATGCAAAACACATTGTGCACATAATGTTGGGGACCACAGTGTTTGGTATGGAATGGTCACTGGAACCCTGCATGAAAATAAGATGGTTGAGCCTGTACTTCATTATTATGGGTAAGATGAAAGTGTTTCATATAATTTTTAAAAAATTTAAACACAATTTATTTTAGCAAGAAAGAAAATAATCGCTCTTTACCTTACGAAAAGGTCAACATACAATTATAGAAAAAATGACTAATAGCCAGAATTTATCATGTTAAATTAAACTCACTACATATTTAGCATTTATTTGTATTAATATAAGAAATATTTTTTAATTTTCAAACTCCAGTAAAATTAGTTTGGAGGGTGTGCTCAAAGCTATTATAAGCACTTGCATGATGACTGCTTTTTGTTTAAATTTATTTGGTTGACTCATTGCTCAGTAATTTTCTTACAGTTTTCTTACTGTTTATTTCAGTAAATATCATAAAAAAAATCACTGAATTAGACAAAAGTGCACTTTCAGTCATTGAATTTTATATTCAGCCATTTATTTATTTTGTAAGAACTTATGCCAGTTTATAAATATTTTTGACTACACAAAACACTCAGACATTCAATTTTTGCTTCATTTTGACAAATGCTTACAGACTTCTGTATCTGTCTATATTTCTGAGATGAGGTATTATGTACACTATTTACATTATTCGGATTATTGTCCTCATCTTTGTCGCCATATTTATTACAACGTTTCAGCTGTTGTACGCTGTGGCCTTCAGGTGGTTGGAACTGAACCCTTTATTTCGCTCACTGGGGTAGACTGTTCTAGTTCTATGTACCATGTCTAATGGATGTCAGTTATCAGTTATCTCCTGTTAATTCCCCTCTCCAAGTTCTCCACCGTCTTAACCAGGTACTGAACTCACACTCTTTGGGTCCTGTCACTGGATCTAACTAACGCCTTTATCCACTGTGCCATGTCCTTAAGGGCATCTGTGTATGAATTTCTGGGTATTATAAACCTAATGTATTCAGCAACACTTTTAGCAGTGCTCATATTGAAATTTTTGCTGTTATTATTGCTTTTCTCTGGCATTCCTTATTATTGGTTCCCATATTGTATTCATTTCTATGCTTGGTCGGCTCAGGAGATTTTTATGGCCTAGCATATGTGCTGATTCCTTAAGTTTATGTATTTTCTAATGATGTTCTTTGTCTGTGATCTCAACTTGATCTCACAGAGGGTGGTGATTTCCCCTTTTCTCTCCATATATGGTCAGCCATGCCTGACTTTTCCTCTTCCCCTCATGTTACAGCTTTCTGGTGTTTTTGAAGCCTTACCTTAAGAGGGCAGCCTGTCTCCCCTTTATATTTCTTTCGGGATAGCGTACACACAGTCTTTAGTCATGTTCTCCTCTATGGGGGGGGGGTCTTGCCTGAGAGAGATATCTGCAAATCGTCATCCAGCTTTTGAAGGTTGTCCTGATGTTATATGGACTGCAGATCATTTGTATTTTCTCTGATAACCCCTTCACATAAGGCAGGCAGACTGTTTTCTAAGTGTTGTTGTCCTCCTCTTGTACCCACCTATCCCAGTTTTTTGAGGCTGCTGCCATGTATCCAGGGTAGTTTTTACATTGTAGGGTACTACTTATACTGACCAATTCTCTATCTAATGTCTTTTGGTCTCCACTTATGACTTTTGCTCGGTGTTGTAAGCAGCAGATGATCCCTTTCTTTACACTGTATGGATGATGGGAGTTGAAATTAAGGTACTGTCCAGTGGATGTCGGTTTACGGTATACAGATGTCTTGAACCCATGCTCTGCTCGAGATATTAGAACATCCAGGAATGGAAGTGTATTGTTACTTTCTTTCTCCATCGTGAACTGTATCGAAGGTCTTATTGAGTACACAGTGGATAAAGGCGTTGGTTAGATCCAGTGACAGGACCCAAAGAGTGTGAGTTCAATACCTGGTTAAGGCAATGGAGAACTGGGAGAAGGGAATTAACAGGCGATAACTGATAACTGTTATTATACATGGCACATGGAACTAGAACAGTCTACCCCAGTGAGTGAAATAAAAGGTTCAGTTCGACATTCCAACCACCTGAAGAAGGCCGGAGCGTACAACAGCTAAAACATTGTAATAAATATGGCGACAAAGATGAGGACAATAGTCCGAATAATGTAAATAGCTTACAGACTTCTGTTTTTAAGTAAGATTTATTTCTATGGTTTTGTGTAAATCCAAGTATCTTGATGCAAATAGGTCACATTTCTGAGGCAAAGGATTTAGTGTATTATGACTTGCACGACAAACATATTTTCCACTGCACTGCAATCAGATGCTTCAATAGCTATTTTGAATTGGCTGAGATGATTAAAGGTACTCGTATTGAAGAAGAAAATAGTAGCTTCGCTTGTCGAACAAAATGTCCACATGTCATACAGCTCCTAAAACCCAGACTTTTTTTTTCCTCACTCTTTCATAGAAATCCCAGCAGCTCATGCAAATTTTGTTAAACCTATCTGCAATAGGATTGCTTTAGCTAATAGGTAATTAACATAAAGAGAGCTATAACTGTAGCTCACAGGCAACTTTGAGTCAATGTATGTAGAATATCTATGGCTACTAATCTGATCATCATAACAAAATGGGGTCACCCGATGGAGCTCTGTTGAATACAGAAGAACCTGAAAACATAAAGATTTGGATAAAATGCTTTAAGGCACATGCCAGAATAAAGAAGTTACAAATGATCCAAACAATAAAGATGGGATTGAAAGCATTTTCTTCTCAGCAAGAAAAAGTGAAAATCAAGATTGTTGTTGAGTTACAGAATGATACCACATGCTGCCAGATTAGCAGGGCTTTATGGAGCATTCCAAAAAGGAGCGCACTCCTTTTTATGGGAGCAAAGGAGAAGAGGGCTTATTTTATATCCAGCTGGAGTGAAGCATGAGCAGCTCTATTTGGCACTAAAGAGTGGAGATTTTTGCACTCCAAAATTATTTGAATTTTTTTTAAACATTAGTTTGTAATCAACAATAAAAAAAAAGAAAGGAAAATCTGACCTAAACTCTTTGAGTTATTTTTTATTATATCTGTGGTAAATGTATGGAAGAGAGAATGAGAAAGTGTGTTAGTTACACATGAAAATGGAAAATATTTCAACTTCTACCCGGGTTCTGGTAAAGAGGCAAGTGACTTTGACACCTAGGTGTTACCATTCTGATGTCTGGGACATTTCTTTTAAGTTGCAGGAGACGGTATGAAAAAATGTCTTCTAAAGAGTCAGTCACTCAGTAGAAAGTCTTTGATGTCATTTTTTATTAGATATCTATGTGTGAAGAAAAATATATACGGAAAAAACAAACAAAAATCCTTATATACAATTATGCTGTTTTAATGTTAATATGTCAACGTCAGATGTTTCAGTAGCGCTGATCTTATAAAACTTTCAGTTATTGGTTTGGATAAGTCTTGTTCTTATGTACATCATCTTTGTCATGTTGTATTGATAATATTATAATTTATGAATATGTCCTGAAGATGGTTTATTAGACCGAAACGTTCGACGTTGACATATTAACATTAAAACAGCATAATTGTATATAAGGATTTTTGTTTGTTTTTTCCATATATATTTTTCTTCATACTGTCGGATCTATATCCACATATTTGCTTACATATCTATGTGTGTGTGTGAGTATTGGTGAGAGTATAAAAGCTGTCTGTAGATATTGGTGTGGGGGAAGAAAGGTTTGAACTTTTTTGTTTTTATGACATTTTCATTGCTGAATGAATAAATAAAACAATGTTTTCTTTTTAATTTACTGATAATTTACTTTTGTACACAATTTTGCCATTATCATCATCATCATCATCATCATTATTATTTGAAGAAAGTTATTAAAAAATAAATGAAATCTTTACAGGTAATAACTTCCATTGGATTTTTTCACATATTTCCCCTCAATATTCATCCAAATGTTGAATGAAATTGATTCTTGGTCTGAAATGATATTTTTTGTTCTGAAATAAAATTCTAATTTACTTTTTAATGTATATAAATTATGATCAAAGTTCTTCAGAAGACTCGGAGTATGAAACATGGGACACTGAGAATAAAAGAACTAGTTCAGGGTCCCCCATAACGAGAAATACTTATGAAACCAGTGAGAGGGGGAGGGAATGTAAAAAAACCCATAGATCCACACAGGGCTTGAAACCCAAAAGATTCAGGGAGATGTAATGGGATTGGTTTAGCTAATAATTGGAGATATGCATTATAAGAATTGTAAGGTACACATTGTATTGAAAGGTTTTGAATACATTTTAAAATCTATTTCAGATCATACCATGATATTGGCGAGAGAATTCTGACAGTTCCACGGTGTGTGTTTACTCAAGGCCCAGTTATCTCGCGTCTTCAAATTGCTTGGCATTGCATCAAAAGACATGGCCTAGAAGGTTCTCTTTATTGCATGAAGTAAATATCAAAATTTATCTGTTTATTATTAAAAAATTATATCAATTTCTTCAATTTTCATTAAAAAATTCATTTTAAGTATATTTCTATTTGAAATTTTTTTGTTTTCCTTTTACAGAGAAAGGTTTCAAAAACAGTTCCAATCCAAAGAGAAAGTAAGTTTTTATTGTGTCACAAATTTTCCTCTTTAAATGCCGCCTTTTAGAAATATTAAAATTTTTGATTGCACATTATACAAAAAGGCAATTTCTGAAAAGTTTTTTTTTTTTTTTTTTGCATTCCTTTGAAATAGTCTCAAATTAAAGTGAATAGTAAGTTTAAATAAGTTTCTGTGGTGATACATGGATTTTGTAAGGTTTGTAATCAGCTTTTAGTAAAGTCTTAGTTAAAAATTGTAGATAAATCCTTTTGATTAAGTATTCATTATTATAACCACTTAACTACATCCATTGAAGTCAATATAGCATTTCTTTACAATCATTTTAATGAATGATGGATTTCATCATGTAATCCAGTGGTCTTCAACCTTTTTGCTGGAGCGGAACCACAAGGAAACATTCCAGTGGCTCGAGGAACCCCTGCAATAAATTGTCTTATGCAAAAAAAAGCTTTCAATTATTAAAATAAAATAAAAATACTCATCTTCAGATTTATTTACAAAAAAATACAAAGACAAACTGTAAAAATATAGTATATGTACATATGCAATTTTAATCTTGCTTCTACGGTTATTACACATGTATTAAAAAAAACTTCAGTTTAAATGGATTACATTTATTTTCATTAAAAATTCAATGAGAAACTTGAGCCTGATGTTTCTTGCACAAATGTTTAATATTGGGTCATGTTTTTGAAAGACACACGAAGTTCATCTTCCACACATATCTGCACAGGAGAATTAAAAGTTACTGTCAATCATAGTACTTGTCTAACTTCTTGCGGAACCCCTGGGCTTTACTGGCGGAACACTAGGGTTCCGCAGAACCCTGGTTGAAAACCACTGATGTAATCAGATAATGAAAAGCAAGAATTAATGCAACATGACTAAGAAAGTTTCTCAAAAACTTTAATTTTTAGAGAGCTTGAAACCACTTCTTTGATAAATCACTCATTTTTTTGTGACATTTGAACCTGAGCCTCATACTCAGATTATCATTTGCATGACTGTGTGGTCATAGGGTCATTGTGCAGCTGAGTGATTCATTAGTTCTTTCCACGTGACTTGAACAAAGTAGATCTGTAGTATTAGAGGGACAGGCTTTGTCAGGTCTAGTTAGAGTTAATTAAATATTTTGCATAATAAGGAATGTTAGAATCAATTGTAGAATGAAAAAAAAACTTAAAATGTTTGTGCTTAAATGATGCTTTATTTTAAATGTTCTCCTGTAGTAAGTTGCAAATATCACCTAATATAATAAAAGCAAGAATTGTTCCACAATTACAAGAAATTCAGTTGATGTGTATTGTAACATTTCTTCATTATTATGATGAAATTGTTTAACTTCCCCACAGTAATTATAGTTACTACTAACAAAGTGTGTATACCTTTTTGCTCCCTGAGTGTTACTTATAATCTTAAACAACATAAAATAAGAATAAACTGAATCTTCTTTCTACAAGTTACATGTTTTTTTTTTCCATTGTGCAGGACTGGCATGAAACAATAGCAATGTTCTACTTGAAAAAAGTGTCCATAGCTTTGAAGGCTGAACAAAACTCTGAGCAGACATTTGAAGAATTTCTCCAGAAAAATAACAATTTAGTAAACCTTAATGATCATTTGTTACATCATTATTCAGTAGAATTAATATCATCACCAGAAGCAAAAGAAAAGTGAGTACCACTCTTTTTAATTTGTATTTTATTATAAACTGCTTTAGGTTTTAAATTGAAAAGAAAATCAGTTTCTAGCATTTCTTCAATATAGATTATGCAAAGAATCTAAATCTCATGAGTAATGGATCTTTTATTAGGTCACTTCAAAAGTAATGTCACATTATATTGGGATTAGAAATTTGAACCTACTTGTTATTAACTAATTTTTTTACCATGTTACTCTGGTAAAATCTTATCTGACATTAAAGTGTTTATGAAACAGGTGTGACTCATTGAATTTTTCCATCTAGAAAAAAATTATACCCACTGACATTCATCAACCCTTTCTGAACATTTAGAGAACAAACAATGAATGTGAGCAGTCAGGTGGTGGGTAATTTGTTTTAGCAGTATTAACAATGTGTATGACAAACCAAATTTCTAGTGGCCCCACACAGCTGTCAGTCTGTTAAATCTGGAATACACCCACAGCGTTCAGGACTCCATCGTTGAGCGACAGCACCCTGGAGAAATCCTAAGTAAACCAAGAATACAGTGGCCCAAAGGTAACCAGAAGACTGTTTGGACTAATCTTGACAAAGAGCTTTCTTTTATCCTTAATAACAATCTTAAGGGTCACATAGGGCAAAAAAGATCAGTTCCTTTTGTAGAATAATATACGACGTTTGCTTTTGAGGATTTGAACCGTAATGGAAAAGATAAAAAGAGGAAAAACGACCAAATCGACGACAAATGGAAAGTTAAGATCAGAACAAACATTAGTGAAATATTATCGCGCATCATCACGACCTAACATGCATGGGTGAAATATTTGCATAGCCGTTTATAACGATTTTTTACGAGCGTCAATAACGGCAAACGCATTCAGGAACTTTCATTATGGACAGAAGTTGCAAAGAGGAACAATCGTTTTATTTATTTCATTAAGAATTTGCAAAGAGGAACGATCAATTATATATTTTATTTTTTTATTTTTTTTTTTTTTTCATGCCCTGCCTGGTGGCGCCTGGGGTGGCGGTCCCGCCATAGCCACCGAAACCATGAGATCACCCCTGGTCGGCGGCTGATGAAGTCAGGGTATCGCACGTGCTAACACACGTTGTATGTTAAAAAAAAAATGAAAAACTGTTTGGTAGCTTAAACTTACTCTATCCAAGTGTTTTTTTGTATGCTCCCTATATCTGTTGTAGTTTCTGTAGAAATAAGCTGGAGACATCTATGATACAGGATGCAGATGAAATACATTTTTGCAGTCTTGCCACACCCTGTATTAAGATTATAAATGGTGGGGGTGATTATTTTTAACACATTTTGGATGATATTATGTAACGTTCTAGTGTTTTTTGACCAATATGAAGTGTTTTCATCTTTAATTTTTTTCTTTTCTACATTATTTTTTACTTTAAATGACCTTATTTTTTGTTTGCTGAAATATTTCATTATTCAACATATTTAGTCAATAAATTCTTCATTTTTCTTGTTTTTTTTAGAATTCATTTCTTTTTATTTGGAATAAAATCATACAGGAAGGGTAAAGAATATATTGACAGCAACAACACAAAGATAAAGACAATAGTTCAAATAACAGAAAATAATGAAAACATACCACTTGTAACTCATTATATCAATACAGATGAGTTATACTTTAGTGTTCTGCATAATAAGTGAATAAAGGTTTTTCTCATTTCACTTTTTTTCATAAGCCATTGAAGTTTCTTAAGGTTCTCATCAAAGATTATTTTGTCCAATGCAGGAGTTCCCCAAGGCTCTATCATGGGTCCTACACTGTTTCTGATCTTCATGTCATCAACTCCCAAGTAGGCATCTATGCAGATGACACTACTATTTACTCCTGTCTCAGTAGTAAATCTGGCAACGCTGACAAATTCAATCTGGCACTGCTCTTGAACTATCAATCAGTGGTTAACTGGGGGTAAGAAATGTCTTATAAATTTTAATGCCTCCAAAACAAAACTGCTCTCATTTAGCCACCACAGAAATAATTCCCTGCCCACCACTAGCATGGTTGATGCTAGACTCCAAGAAAGTGTCTCACTGTGCCTTCTTAGCTTCATGCTTTTGAATAACTTGAAGTGGAACAAGTACATTGAATCAATAGCTGCATCTGCTGCAAGGAAAGTTAGCTCATTGTGTCATGCCAGGTTTTTCTTGTCAGTCTATCACATATCTCCAAATCTACCATTTGTCCATGCATTGAGTACTGTTGCCATATCTGGTCCAAAGGATCTGCAATGTAATCGATCCTGACTCCAATCACTTTCTCACAAATGTGATGTGGCTTCCCTCTGTCTTTTTGATGAATATTTTCATTGCAACTATTCTATCAAGCTTTTTTCTCTGGTGCCCTGACTACATAAATTTAAGCCTGCTACTAGAATAACACCTAGGTACCATCAATGAAATAGTTAAATATAACCACCACTTCTACTCCAACAGCTTCTTTTCTAGCATTTCCCACCTGTGGAATGAACTCCCTTCTGTTTACTTGCTTCCCTGATAACTAATCTTCAGAAATTTAAATGCAATGTCAATTACCATCTACTAATGTCTTGAACCTCGTTCATCTTTTATCCTTTCCTCATTCCTCCTGTAGATTTTTTTTTTTTCTCTCACTTTCCCCCCCCGTAAACCAGTGGCACTCACACCTTGCTTGGGGTGAAATGCTTAAGAAAAAAAAAGCCCCTTCTAACCAAGATTTAAATATAGGAGTCATTAAAATATAACTTCAAAAGGCAAGTTTATACTATTTTTTTGTTTTCCAAGGGTTGTTGCTACACAGTGAAATGCCTATTTCAATTTCATTCAAATTGTGTGTATGTATGTACAGGGTGTGATGAGTAAATTGTCGCCATTTTATATTTTTATTTTCATCCATGCATGTTGTTTGTTGACTGTATGGCATAGTAGGGTCAGTTGTGTACCATCTGTGAGAAAGAGTATCATGATGCAATTTACTCTGCCAGAAATTTGGAAATGGCATGCTGTACTACTTTGGCATTTTTGCCAGAAGCTCCAATATGAATATTTCAGTGTTTTGGTGTCAATCTGAGGAAAGAGTTGGATAAGTCTAATGGTGCTCATGAAGGTAGTCCAGCTTGGAAAACTCATTTTGATAACTCTCGAATTTGTTGGTGATATCAAGACCATGATTGAAAACGATCCCTCCACGTCAATGAGGTCCATAGCCAGCGAAGTTGTGCAGCCTTGAGTCAAGAGGGTGGCTGATGGAAGATGCTATGCAACATGTCACACAAGCAGAACTCAGTCATGGCTGTCAGACAATTTCTGCAACCCCTTTGATTATTATGTGTGGGGCACAGTTAGGCAAACACCAAAGATGAATTGAAGGCAAGGATTATGGCAGTATTCATCAACTTAAACAAGGACACCATTCAGAAGAGTTACAGGATGCAGGAGATTCCGAAGTTGTATGGAGACCATGGTTGAAGCCAATGTCAGTTTTATTGAATAAATTTACTCTTTAGTATTTCAAGATATTTTTGTGTAACTTTTGGTTAATATATTTGTTAAAATGGGACATCAGTGTTATCTTCATTTTTGTGTAATTTAGACAATTTGATTGCACCGTCATTGAATTAACTATGCATGTACACACAAACTGAAAACATTCTACAAAATTTTTAAATGGCCTCCCTCAAAGATTAATTCCAAAAAATCTGGCATTTAAAGGTTTTTTTTTTTCACCATTAAGCCTGTGGTAATATTAGCTAAACAATGACTTGGTAGAGCATAGTATTAAGAAATGAAGTGGATATGTAACATGTGGTATCTGCTAAATTTACACCTACAGTAAATGGTACCAAACTTATTACTTCAAATCCTTTTTTTCTCAAAAATACCAAAATGATTAATAATCTAATCATAATTTCTATAACATTTTTATTTTACAGGTATGTCCCACCAGACCAGAAGCCTTTCAACAGTTTACATTGATTTAAGTGTGTTTAGGTATTTTTATTTATTTAATAAAGTGTGTAATAACTTTTTTTTTGAAAAAGAAATTAAAGTTTTATTGACATTCTTTGTATAATTCAATTCGATGATTATATGTGAGAAAAGTAATTTTTCAATTTTTGTTGGTTTTACCAAATTGAAAATTTTAGCACCTTCTGCCTAATGATTTTTAGAGATTACTTTCACCCTGTAAAACAGGGAATGCAAGGTGGGAAAAAGAATTAAAAAGGTTTGTAGTTATAATTATGAATGTGTTCAATTAGACTGCATAAAATAAATTCCTTTTCCAAACAATGATAAAAGAAAACATTAGCCAAAGTATTAAATATTAAAATTTAGAAAGTCAGTAAGTTACTGAAAACAGTTGCTTCTTCAGGAGGTATAATTGGTTATATTTTGCTTACTATTTCTTATCTTGTTTATTTATTAGAATCGTAGGAGTTATTACCCCTTGAATTTAAAAAAAAAAAAAAAAAAAGGTAGTGTAACCTGGATATAAGAGAGATTTTCTCTGGTCCCAAATTAGAGCCTGTGTTAATGTATATAAAATAGACCAAACCCGGATATAAGAGAAACCCGGATATAAGAGACTTCTTCTCCAGTCCCGACAACTCTCTTATATCCGGGTTACACTGTATATGCAGCATTAACATCAAATGTACTAAAAAAAAAAAAAAAAAAGCCCACCATAATTAACTGATTCTGAAGTGGTGAATTTCTTTTAATTTTTTAAATAATCCAATTTAATCAGGAACTGTGTCTAAGTTTTTCTCAAAATCACTAGATCATTTTTTTTTTTTTTTTTTAAAGTTACTCATAGGTAAAATTGTTACAACCAGTGTCTTAAATAAAATTTATACTCTCCATAAGTGATTAGTAAAAAATAAAAAAAGTTTAATTTTAAAAATCAATCGTTATACAAGTTGTATTTAGCATTGAATTTTAACTTACTAACATTTTGTAGTGACTTATTATTAGTAAGAATCGAGAAACTCATTCTTCAGCTATATCACTTTTCATACATCATTACATAAAAAGGTGTATGTGTTCTAGTCTTATTCAAAGTAGCTTCTCAGTCACCATTTAAGCAAGTACTTAACAGAAGTCTTTGCAATGTTTTTATTTCATGGGCAATTCTTGAAAATAGTATGTCTCATTTCCAATATACCTAACATTTACATGTTTAAAGCTGTTTTAAGTTTGAGGAATTAAAAAAATATATTGGGTAACTAGGATATTGAGTTGGCTTTATAAAAATGTCACATCCTTTTGCCAGTCCTACACCAATTCTACATTTTTAAAGCTTTGGTCAATAAACCTATTTAACTGCTCGCTCTTAAGAGGAAAAAGTGCTGCATTACCAATGAAAGTTGAATTTTGAGAAATAATGTAACTGGCACAAGATAATCTGAACCCAGCAATATATCCTATATTTATTTGCAAACTGAACTTCTTGTAAATTTGGGCTAAGTGTCCCGTTGTTTACATTATACTAAGACCCCCCCCCCCACATGCAAATTGCATTTTGTTTGGAAGAGCAATTGCTGGGATCAAATATTTTATCTATTCTGCCTTATTGAGAAGGCCACAGACAGGGTGTCTCAATTATTAAACCACCATCAGATCCCAAAGTTTCTCAGCTCTTCACACACGAGATGAATCTGGTGCATAAAATGATACCATGACAACAGTAATACTTTAAAACCCATCATTGCATTTCTTCTGTTCAGAGAGAGGGGAAGGTACAACAGTTTAAGATTAGAATTAGGTCAACAAAAAGATATTTAATTAAGGAAAAAAGCCAGAGATAGTCAACAAAATGATGATTTCTTTATTGGCAAATTCACCATAGAGTTCAATATTTAATCCTCCTCTTCATCTGCAGCACCACCGCCTTGAGCCTTCCTCATATTTTTCCTCTTGACACGGCCTGCAAATAATCATCCAAAAATTAAGATAGAAAAACAAGGGTAAAATAAATTTTAAAATTCCAACTTGAAACTTAAACGTATGTAGTTGGTAGAGGAATGCAACATTGTATGCACAAGTTTATAGACTCCACACAACATTTATGTACACAGCAAATTGCCAAAACAACAATCAACATGTAGTCTTGGGGATGAACACTGTGACAGCATTTCATTTTCATATACTTTGAATAATTATTGCCGAGAAACTTCTTTTATAGATTTAAGATCACAGCTGAAACAGGATTCTTTTTAATGAATAAATTTATTATATTGGGGAAGTTTTGCTAATGCCACAAAAGTGCAGTTATTTTGAACAAATTCCACATGAAAAAATATTTTCTGTGCATATATATATATATATATATATATATATATATATATATATATATATATATATATATATATATATATATAAAAAATAAAGTCCAACTTACCAGGACGACCACCACCAAACGGTGATTTCAGAGAGAAATCAATGTGTTTCTGTGAGTCAAGACGCACAATGAATGAGGGAACATTCACTACTTGTTTACGAACCCTACAAAAAATATTACACATTAGTCAAGGTTGGATGAAAAATCACAAGATGATTAAATTTTAATAGACTCAGTGAAGTTATAAAATCAGTTTCAATAATTAATAGTTAAAATCAAAGTAACAAACATTTAAATTCCAACATTAGCTGCCCATCTTTACCAAGAATAAAGCTACAAAAAAAAAAAAAAATCAAAAAAAACGGTAAGCTGAATATTAAGCTATTGTACTAAAACTAAATTCTTTTGAGTGGAAATTTATTGCATGGCAATTCAATACAAGCAATATTAGACTGGCAGCAAGATCACATCAATTTACAGGTGAGCTAATGACATGTAGCTGTAACTTCTACACCAACAGTTTCTTTTCCCGCTTGTGGAACTCCCTTCCAGTGCCATGCTTTTCCAGCCAACTGCGAGAATTTAAATGCAATACCAATTGCTATCAACTTATCATGAATGCTCTTTTCTCTTTCTTCTCATTACTAATGTTCCTGTTCTTTATTCCTCTACATCCTGTAACCCCTTATGTGTTAGTGGCTGTATTGCCTTGCTTAGTTGACACTGATTAAAAAGACTTTCCGAACAACCATCTCTTATGAGAGTCAATTTTATAAATGGCTTTCAGAACGAGAGAAAATATGAATTGCAATGAACAGTTTTATAAATACAAATTCTCTTGTGAAAGTAGAATATTTATGATGGAAATAATTCACTTACCTAATATGTCTCTGTCGGATAAGTACTCTTGCATGATGAATACTTTTTGCGAGTCCAAGCTTGAAGACTTGGGTTTGCAAACGCCTTTCTAAGAAATCTTCCAGACGTAAACCAAGGACATAATCAAGCTTCATCTTGCTTTCATCAAGCACACCAATACGCACAAGACGTCGGAGGAGAGCATTACCTGCAAAGATAATTATTTAAAAAAAAAAAAGTTTAAATTATGGTTTGACATGCAATCCTTAAAAATTGTCGAACACTAAACATTTAAAAGAATTTAACCAGAAAATTCAAGACTGAGAAAATATTCTTGTCAACATTGACTTTCAATACTGATAGTTGATAAATATTTATCTAACTCCCAAAATACGCCATTCTACTTTTTCAAATAAGCTAGAGCTCTAAATCTTTAGAAGGCATCCAAGTAGACAGCCAGCCCTGATTTTACAAAAAAAAAAAAAAAAAACTTCATTGTAAAGATCAGGAATAAAATAAAGCAGAAATGACAATACATGGTGTATTTTTTTTTTTTGCTACATTGTACTTCATATTTATCAGTTGTTGTCAATGTTTACAAAGTAGAAGATGGGTGAAAATACTGCCAATCAAAATTCATTAAGGTGACCGGACTTATTCATATTGTAAATCGATCATTCACTTTAGAGCCACTTCCTGTTTAGACAGGAAGTATCTAAGATGTCAAAAATATTCACTTAGTAACATTGCTTATTTCAATTAACAGCTATCATCAGCCACTCAACTTTACAATGGATAGTGAATTGAGCAGTTTTGTGAAGGTACTGTGTAAACAAGCAAAACAAATAAATAAAAAAAACTTACTTTACACTTTGCAACGTTTGGTGACCAAAGGAAATGTTACAAAATGTGGCAGCAATTTATATAGCAGTTGGGATAGTATAGTGTAAAAAAAAAAAAAATTCCAACAAGCACACTTAACAGCCATAACTTTTTTTTTTTTAGTGGTTGAATACTGGAATTATTTCAAACTTGCAAAACTAAAATATAAGTGTTCTTTTTCATTGCCCTGAACTAATAGCATTTCTTAAAATTACTAATTATCTCTTAGCTAATACATTGAAATGTTTTAAAATAATTTGTAAATTTTTTTTCACTATATCCTTAGTTTTAAACCATCATCTTTCTATTAAATTAGCTATGTTCAAATGTGTTAGAACAATCAAAAATTCAACAACTGAATATATATCACACTTGAAACAACAAAACTGGAAAAGCTTTGTGAATATGGGATTTGTTGACAGACTGAAATAAAATACTAAAAAAAGCTTATGAAGGAAATTTGTTAAATGATAAAAATGTTCGGTAAATACAAGAACTAATTACAAAAAGAAAAAACATTTCAAAATTACTTAAAATTTCTGAAATTTTTAAACTTTTGGTGTGTATATGAACAAATACTATAAATTTCAATATTCAACTACTAAAATGACAATTATTTGCTTAAACTCTTATACTATTTAAAAAGATAAATCTTTATTAAAAGGAAAGAACCGGATTTTTTTTTTTTTAAAACCTTGAAAATTTTGAACATCTTTTGATGGTGAAAAAGATTGATTGTTGCAAAAACCTGATTAATGTTTTAATGAAACTTACAGGACTGAATTAAATTTTTTTCCTTTAAGACATGTTACCTCCCCACTCATTTATTCCTATGAAGTTGAGATATTCGTTTGTATGGATTAATGTTTATATTTGTTATAAGAACAAGTCCTTGGAGAATTTAAATCAAATATTTTTGGTCAAACAGGACCTGCAGTTACAGAAAATCTGCTCTGAATTGTAAAAATGCAATAAAAGACCATATTTATTTAGAAAAGTTTTTAATCATCTTTTTTAAATATATTAGACACTATTGTCTTAAACTTTTTAACATGAATAATGAATTTTTGCAATGACTTTTCAGTTTAATATTTTAACTAGAATTTGTAAACTTTTAAAAATTGTTTCAATTAGTAGCAGTTAAGCGATATTGTTATTAAATTAAAATTAATAATCAATCATTGGAAAAACTCATTACCATCCTTTCCTCTACCCAGTATTTAAAAAAGAATTTATTTTTTTTGTATGTGCAAACAAATTTTTTTTTTGCAAATATGGACATGCATATTATCAGAAAATAAGAGGTATCTATAACAGATTTAAAATTTATTGATAATTTTGTAATATTTCCTCAACAAGTCTCTTTATAATTAAGTCTATGAAGCTAAAGGACCTAGAATTCAATTAAATATTAGAATACTAAAAAATATTTAAGATTATAGGATAGGTAAAAAAAATTGTGGCATTTCTCTTGTAATTTTATTACAATCATCTTAGATAAATTTCCTGAACATCAGGCTGTTGATAAATGTGCTCGCACATCATAAAAACATTTAATTCAGTGTTAATAAAGGCCTTTCTGTAATATTTTGAAATACAAGTCATATTTGTTTCAATTTGGATTAATGAAACTTTAAATTAGCTAATTTTTCATAAACTAACATTTCAGAAAATTATTTTATTTTCAAAAGATTACGTTGTGTTGAGATTTGCCAATACGGACAATTATACTAATAATCAGGGATGGAGGGAGGGATCATTCCAATAAATTTAAATTCAGTTTGAAATGCAATAAAGTATTTTAATTACTGGAATATTAAATTTAATCTATTTAAAAATTTAATTCTAGGGAGCGGGGATGTACCTACTTAAGTAACAAAACCTTTATTGAAATCAGATACTTTTTCCCTATCAGCATCTGTGAATCCTTATCGTCTAAAGGCTTTCCAATGAAAATAACCTAACAGTACCTGCTGTTAAGTTAGTTTCATTGGAAAATGCAATACCCAAATCTTGAAGCTTTTGAGTTTTAATTTCAAGCTAATAGATTAAATTTAATATTTCCAATAAACTAAATACTTTGCTATATTTCAAAGATTAATTTAGATTGACTGGAAGGAGCCCTCCCCCCTCATTGCTAAAATAGCCAATTAACACTTTTTTTAATCAGCTTTTATCACAATGCAATTCTCTTTATTAAAAAATTTGACCAAAATAAAATGTGCTCTTCTGAAAGTTTGAGGAATATTATCCAATTTAAAGTATAATTAAACTGATTTGAAACAAGTATTTACATCGTTTAAATTATCATAGAAATGCATTTAACCCAACAGTAGCTATGTTTGTGTTTGAGGTGATGACTATATTGTTCTATGGACATATATTGTTCTATGGACACTATCTGTAAAACACAATTGAAGCAAATGACGTGAACTCAATATTAAAAATCTAGGAAATTTTTCTTAGTAATTGTGACTTTAAATTTACTATGGCCATCACTCTTATTCTGATGTGTATGGTGACCTATATTTACAAAAAAAAAAAAAAAAAATTGGTGCCTGATGATTTATATTAAGCCTCTCCATTTATGATTAGTAAATATAGTTTTCACTTAATGATAAAATAATCAAAATGCTAAAATACAGAATTTTAAGATTTAAAAATGTATTTACAAAAAAAAAAAAAAAAAAAAAAAAGTGCCCATAATGTATCTTATTTATAAAAGCAATTAAAAGCTTTTCTAATTAAAGTTTTTTCATTTTTTTTATTTATTTTACAATTCAGAGCAGATTTTTGGTGTCTATGTTTGACAAAACAAAATCGCTGATTTAAATTCTCTAAGGAGTAATAACTTTAATATACAAATATGAAGAGGCTAAAATTTTACTTTCTCATTTAATTAAAATCCGACCATATTATATTTCTGCAAGAATTTCCAAAACAATGTGTTTCTTATTGCAAAAAAGATGCCGAAAATCTTTGGCCAACCCGCTGGCACAAGAAAAACGAGACCCCCCCCCCCCAAATCCTGGACGTGTTAGAAACAGTTAGAATGAATTAAAAAAAAAAAATACATTATATATATATATATATATATATATATATATATATACACACACACACACACACACTTTGGCCATTTCTCTGAAGACGTTTTTGACAATAAAACATTGTTTTTATCAACCTTGGTGCCTTTTTTCATCATGGTATGCACCTACCTAATACTGTTTTCATTGTAGACTACTTTCAAATTCGCCTGTTTTTGATCATTTTTATACAAAAATTCTCATCTAACAAATAGAACGAAGATTGTGTCAAAATTTTTATACAAGTTTTGAACAATTTTTGTCAAGTTGTGTAGAAATATATACCTTTTTTTTATAAAAATATTGGAGTGCTAATTTAATTATGTTTCTCTGTTAAATTTTAGTATCTCGTTAAAACGCTCGGAATTTGTCATTTTAGCTCTCGAACAGCTTTTTCTGCCGTAACAAAAAGTTAATTCCTTACCCTCAAACAATCGTTTAGGGTCCTTCTCTTCTAGAGTAAGCAATTCTCTGGCTCCTTTACGGATATTTGCCAAGGAATACTTCACCCTCCATACTTCCCTCTTGTTCCTCAAACCATATTCACCGATTAGTTTTAATTCCTGATCCAATCGCTCTTTTTCGAACGGCCTTCGAGGAGTTGAGTAAGTTTTACTTTGTACAAGTGGAACACGCGGCATTTTTATAGATTAATCTATCGCCTGCAATAAGAAAAACAAATCAGAATTAAAGTTGACAAATAGTAATAAGTAAAAAGTGACATTAAAATAGCGTTTATTCACAGGTGCTGCTAAACTAGGATAGATAGACTGAAAAGTAGTAATCAAGATGTTAGTTAAAAGTTTGGGAATTTTCTTAAAAAATAAAAAAATCAGTCCATTATACGTGCAGGAAATATGGGTTTAGTTGGATTTAGCGCTTCAAACCACACCAAATGTTTACTTGTCTTGGACAATAACTATCAGGAATGAGATTTATGAATCCTTTTTGTATTTTAAAACAAGGCTACTTATTGAATTTTATTTATTTTAAATATGGAATAAATTGTGTTCTGAACGGTATTTTTTTCTTTTACTTTATTTCGTGAACGAATATCAAAGTTTCACAATTACATTAAAGTTTACGTTCAATGTAAGAGAAATAAATTCAGGTGGAGGGGGGGACTGTTTGAAACGCTAAAATCAACTATTCCCAAAACAGATTCATATTTATGTTCAATTTTAAGAATGCAACTTCTACAGCAAAAAAAGTTAAACGATTTGTCAACAGATAATTCCTTAGAAATAAAACAAACCGACATCCTTGCTTTATGGGGGGGGGGAGAAAAAAGTGTAATAGCACCCCTCCATGCTTGTGGTATGTAGGAAGAATCTACAAGTTTTTTTCTATTTTTTATTTAAACACTTCATACATACAATTAGGCACAATTATATCTAGATTGCTTTGGTAAAAAGTTTATTTGAAACAAACAAAAAAATAAATTTTTAAGGGGGCATTAAGTTTAGAAATCGATGGTTAAAGAGAGTAAGCGAATTACCGAATGAGTAGACAAAAGTGTCCACGTTACGAGTTAAATATTTATGTACTTAATTTTGGAGGAAATAAAATATTGTTACTTAAAAAGAATTATAAAGGACGGAATTGAGGGGTGGGGAAAAATCACTCAACTAACTGAACTGCTTCAGCTTATGCGTCGATACAGTCCACATGGGATAAAATTAAATATTGGACGGAGATTTTACACTTATCTATTGTTTTTATAAGAGGTTGTTGATAAAATCATTTTTAAATAGTTATTTTTCTGATATTGTTTTCAATGCAAATTAAGGGAAATTTAAAAATAAAATTTAAAAGAAGCTTGCATTTTCATACAAAATTACTTTTAAAACCAACATGGCACGCATTTTATATAGGCCGGCTGATTTCGACGAGACAAATGTGCACAAAACTATAAAATAAAAGATCATTAATATCATCTGCATGTAATGTAAAAAGACGGAGAAAACTTACTAATTTTTCGACATATTCAATAGTGTGAACTTACAAAAGAATAGTCTAAAAATTCGACATCAACGTAGCAATAAGAGAAAAGATTACCAACCTGAATGGCGGCCAACACATGGAAAGACCAATTCACTTGTGCGGAATGATATCAAAAACTAATATAAAGATCTTTTCAAATAAATCGCCGAAAATTGACAATATTTATCAATAAAATTAATTTAAATTTAATCGATTTGTAGAAATAGGTGGATAGTTTTGAAATTCAAATTAAGAATTATAAATCATAACAACCAAATTAGACGAACTATTTTTTGTTATAAAATAACAAAGTTCCGGTTTAAACGGAAACAGGTAGCGACGCCTGGAATGATTGGGAGAGCAAAGCCATTAATGATTATCTCCCTTATTATTTTATTTTTACATACGTTGTATGTACGAGTTCCACTCAAGTAAACCCATTAAAAGAAAGTCTGATATTAGGTAAAATTTTGAAAAGTGAATGCGGACAAGAATATTTCAACACCTCGTCCTATATATACTTGTGGAATTTCATATACTACCTAGCGTTGCCTGAGATAATAAAAAAAATTACTGGAAAAAAAAAGTTATTATTAAAAAAAAAAACGATTAGAACAAAAACAAATGAAGTTCTGTTAAAGTTAATTTCTTATTTTTTACAAGGCTTTATTGGCGTGGGGCTTAGAGAGGTTAAAAAATTGAACAGTTGATTTACCCACACCAAGAAACTTAATGAAGAATGATAATAACGAGGAAACACACAGCTAAAACAAAACAAGGAATTTATTCATGAATTTACCAATTTTACATGCTTGAAGTAGTGTCAGTAGCTAGTTTCAGGAAAATAAATCAGAATTCTTAAAGTAAAGTCTGTAGTTTTAACATATTGTCATCAGGAAATTTTCATATAACAAAAATGATTTGTCAAAATAATATTAAAAAATGTTTAAGACAAATGTGTGAGAGTTTCTTGCTCACCGAAGGAAATTTTCATACAACAAATTAAATGATCCGTTACAAAATAATATTAAAAATTGTTTATGACAAAGGTAAGAAAGTTTGTTGATCACTGAAGGGATATATGGTTTACAATTACATATGTTCAAAAGTAGACAAAGTGAGATAATTAGCAATACTTGTTGAGAGAAAATTCTTTGAAGTGCCGCATGCTGTTTTGAGTCCAATAATATAATTGGCGAGTACTTCAACACTGGTCACAAGAACTGAAACAAAACCTTTCACACACTCTTCTCTGATTAATTTAATTTTTCTCTTCATTTTATATCAAAAGGAATTTCACGTAGACTCGTGAATTTTATTTCCTTCTTGGCTGACTGGATAATTCCTGTGAAGGCAAGGTTTTCATTGGTTTTTCCAAAAACAAGTCTCGTAAATTCCTTTCCTTCTTTTCAGCTCAATAAATATTACATTGTACTTGGTTTAAATATTTTTATAAACATTGTCAAGGGTGTCAAAAGTGCATACAGTAATAGTGGTGTCAACAGAAAAACCATCCTTTTGATACACTTGTTTGAAAATGTGAAAAATAAACAATAAAATATAATTTCTTATATCAAAAAATCTAAAGTGCCTATGATGATACCAGTGTCACTGTGTAAGGTCTTGATTGCTGATCTTTCTCCCCTTGTGATGTTTGATGTAGGCAGCTTAACCTTTTCTAGTGCTTGCCTCACTACTAGAAGCTATCATATCTAAGTATGGAACCTTCCTGATAGTGGTGACAAATTTGAGATCCATGTTTAGCACTGATCCCTCAGAAACACTCAACTACTGATTCCTGATATTGACAACTGCTCTTACTGTTTTTTAAGAGCAGTAGTCAATATCAGGATACCTAGTTGCATATGTTAGGCTATTAAAAACTTAATAGTAGGCTTCTCATATAAATACATATGATATGGGAGCCATTAATAAAGAAAGACAAATGACAGCAGGTCTTCAACAGCAGCAGTAACACCTTTTTCACCTTGCTAGCATCCCCAACTTAGCTTGCAAATTTTTAGGAGTATTCCAATTTGTCCTTAGCAAAATGAAAAAGGAGCCAATCCTAAAAACTGAGAGAAAGCTGTCACAGATCCTAAATAACAAGGACTACTTCACACTTCTATACTTTGAAAAGGTAGAGACAGCTGAGTCAACATTACACCATGCTGCCACATATGTATGGTCTCTCCAAGATTCCCAAAGTTGATATTCCACTGAGACCTATAGTCATCCACAGAGGATCAGCATGCCACACACTAAACACATTCCTAGTCGACATGGTCAACCCACTAGCAGGGAAGTCCTTATCATATGTTAAGAACTCAGAACACTTTATGGAATTGATCCAAGGGGTCTCATCCATAGCAATCAAATGGTAAACTTGTTCATCACAATTCCTACAAATGAGGCCCTGACCATGACAATTTTCTGGTTCTCCTCCTTGACTTTTGTTTTCACCTGCAAACAGATGTTATCTTTGTAAGGTATTTATGATGGAAATTGAAATTGATATGTGGATGCCTTGAACCTATTTTCCGTATGACTTATTAGTATATCCAAGAAGGCTAGTTGATTACTATTTTCTATTTTCATTGTGAACTGGATTAAAAGTCATATTGAGTTCACATGGTCTAGCAGTATTTGTACAGCTTCCTGGTGCAATCAGTATGAAGGTATCACCTACATATCTCAGCAATACTGTTAGCTTCTGTGGTGCCATTACTAAAGCCATTTCCTTGATGTATATATTTACCAACACTGGTGACAATGATGAACCCACAGCCAAGCCTTCCTCCTGTTAGTACAGGGGTAAATAAAACATTTTCTGCACTTTTGCTTAACATATTTTTACTGAGAAAACTATTATAAAATTACATTCTTGTGGAATTAGAAGTGACTCTCATTTGAAACTTTCACCACAAACACAAACCCATGCAAAGAACTGACAGAAGGACATACGTTTGTATGCTATATGTTGTGTCTATAGCTGTATCAAGGATTTGATATTTTACTGGCACACTCACCTTCCGTGATTTGGAAAATATAAAACATTTTTTTCTTTCATTTCATTATTATCATTCTAGATAAGACTTCAAATATTAGATATATTGTAGCATTATGATTGAATGGTAGATTGGTGAGAAAATGTATATTGTGAACAAGGTTCTGACATCAACAGGTAAATTGATAATAGTTCTCAGTTATTACTTAAATCATTGCTCTGAAAAATTCCTGTTAAATTCTGTTCTGAAATAGCAAACTGAGTGCCTGCAAAAACATTGTCTAAAACCAAAGTATAATGTTCATACAGAACAAAGAACATAAACTTATTTGGGTTATTCCATGCAGTCCAGGTTATAAAATTCAAAAACCTCAAAATTCTTAACTTTCTAGATTTTATATGCTCATGAGCTATCAAGTTAGCATTAGAAGTGTTATAGCAGTTTCTGGATTAGTAAAAATGTTATAAATCTGCTACAGGCTAAATTCTGTATATTAAATGCTTTTGAATGTACTAGCAAGAGATTTATATAGATAACTTTGGCAACTTGTACTTTCATGCCCACAAAAAAAAAAAAAAAAAAAAAAAAGATTTGACACTATTATCTTAATTATCTTCACTCCCTTGGCAATGTTTATTGTTAGAAAGCAAGGATTAGAATTTTAATAAAACCTAAACATATGAAAGTGGATTTATACATTTTTTTTGTTCTTGAGAATTTACCATAAAAATATTAAACACTATGTATTATATTGTTTATTGGAATGGCAGCTAAATGTCAATCGATTTGAACTTTATAAAATGGTAAATAATCAGCATTTCCTTATAGTTGATTCTCATATTTTAATAATTTAGTAAATGTTTATAAATCTATAAAAAAAATTTATATTTATTTCTTTATAAATTTGTAAATGATAAATATTATATTAGTTTTAATACAAATGTATTATTTTGTAGAATGTTGAAAATATAAAATTATTCTTGTAACTGAACAATCTAATAGCGTTTAATATTTTTGTTGTAAATTCTCAAGAACAAAAAAAACGCATAAATTCACTTTCATCATGTTTAGATTTTATTACAATTTTAATCATCACTTTTTAAAACAATAAACGTTGTCAAGGAGTGAAGGTAGTTAAAATAATAGCAGTGTCAAGGAAAAAAACAACCTTTTGGCATTGTTTGTTTGCAGGTATGATACTTTTTAACAGAGCTGCCTTAATTGTGATGCTTATCAAAACTGTAACTGTGCTCAGAGATGGCCACTAAATCTGATATACAGATATCATTTTTCTGTTTTTAGACTGGTCAGTAAAATACATTTAAAAATTTTGCTTTCAGATAATCATATGGTCCTTTGATCAAATTACAAATGCTTTCAAACATACTCTTCCAATATAATCTATTTCTGGCACAGGGTTTGAGTCAATTGCAATTGTAATTGCAGAGATGGTATTAAAGCATAACACTAGTTGGAGGGAATGCCATGTTATACTTGTTTGACCCACTTGTACTAATGCGTGTATAACAAAAAGAGTTTTCTTAAGTCTGATTTTTGCAGATTTTGAATATGTTATAAAAGAACATCCTTTTTGAAGAGGAGTAGAGGTTTATCCATTGTTTCCTGTTTAGGATTGGTTTCTTATTCCTTTTCTTTCACTTCCAATAGCCCCCTGCATCTTAGTGGCATTATTATCTTGTTTGGAGTGAACAGATTGAGAGAAAAAGAGTTACTTAGGATTAAGCATGCTTTTCAATGGTTCCAAATTTAGCATAGCACCATTTTTTTTTTTCAAGTTAAAATTTATTTCTACTGGGCTAAAAGTAGAATCCCATCACAGAAAATGAAATAGATTCTGTCAAAGACAGGATTTAAAATTTTAAAGCTTTTCATTTTGGTATTCTTTTTCTTCTATTAAATGTAGTAATTAAAGAACAGGCATCTTTTTTTTTTACTGTTTTTCATCACAACTAATCAGACTATTGAAATATTAAATCAACTATACATTGTTAATTCAATATTAATTCAGAAATAATCCTGTAAGTATATTTGTAAATTAATCTCATGCCATGCACTATAATATCACAATAACTCACTCATAAGTCTTTTTACCTGTCCTAGTGTGACAAACTAATGATAGCGCATGTATTTATGTATTGAGGACTAACAAAACTATGTGGGTAGAGCAGTGCAAAAAGAATAATAATAATAATAGGAATAGTGATATTACAAAATTGTAGTTTTTATAGACTGAAAAAAAATGGTATTGGCTGTGTTTTACACTGGGAAGATTACATTGTAATTTATCTATATATAAAATAACTTCTGTTAGTCCATCACACACTCTAAAATAGCTATATATTGACTGATCAAGACCAAATTTTGGGGAGATGTGCAAACAGGTAGAGGGGGAAGCTACAAAATACAGTTGGCCTGCACTTTTCCCCAAAATTTGGTTTTGATCAGTCAATGCATGGCTATTTTAGAGGGTGTAACAGATGGATGATTAACAGATTCACAGAGTTTTATATTTAGCTAGCTATTTTTTTTCTTTTCTTAGATGAAACATTTTCATTAATGAACTATGATTGACACTTATGTAATTGTAGACAAAAATTGCATAACATTTTTTTTAATGAATGTTGGTAAATGCTTCAGGGATTCTATTCCCTTTATCAGTCAAAGATTTATATAATATTGATTTAATTTTTAAGTTCAGATACATGCAGACTTGTAACAAACAATAGTTTCAAATATTTAGAGCCTGTATTGTATTGTAGCAGTTGAAATTGAAAATTAAATCAATGTAAACCTTTGGCTGATGAAGGGAATATAAATCTCAAAATGTACCAACATTCAATAAAAATCATGTTATACAATTTTCATTATGCTCATTTTATTACTAGTTTTACATAATCTTATTGTGATAAAAAGCAACAATAAAATGGAACAAAGCTTGATATAAATTGTTCAGTATTACAAGTTTCAAAATAAATAAAAAAGCAAGTCACATAGAGTCAATTTTATTTTATTTATTTTTACAGATTTAAATTTGTTTAAATTCTTTATGTTGAGGATTTCCAGCCAAAATTGTTTGTGACAGCAGTTAAGTATAGATTGGCATATAATGTCTTTCTCTCACACACTCTCTGTAGAGTAGATACAATTTAAACAGCATTCACACTTTCCTTTTAGTTTGTCTCAAATAGCATTCAAAAGAAGAAGAAATAATAAAAAAAAAAACAGATTAGCTGTCTGAAAGACCCGACTTAACCTTGCAGCATATATTTTCTTGAAGGGTTTATTTCACACCCTCAATGGATGAATGCATTTTTTTTTTTTAAGGGTCATTTTTCACAAATGCTGAACAGTGATCTGCTGTTTGTCACTGTTTAACACATTAGCTGGACAATTAATGTTATTTTGTTGGAGGTTAGATATAGGTTTTATGAGGACAGAAATGTGGGAAATCAGAGAGAAGTGAAAAACTTGTTCAAGATGCAATAATCAACATTAAATTTTTTTGCGTGTTTTTTTTGTTTATTTTTTAACCAACATTTGAACTTGATGAGTCAATTTCACTCCAATATATGGAGTTATTTTATATGTGCATGTACTCTGAATTGTGTGTGTATGTACCTCTGTTTATATATTATATATATATATATATATATATATATATATATATATGATTTTTTTTAATTTAACATTATTTCTTATTACTATAAACATTATTTTTAGTGGGTACATGTGTTTGAGTAAATATTAGTTTTGTTTTAATAAAGAAAATGTGCCTCTTGACAGAAATTAAACCTGTATTTTCCTGATTTAAAAGTGAATACAGGTTTGCTAATGAGAGGAACATTTAAAACTTTTCATCTGTAGGCTGGCAGATATTAATTATACTGTAAGAAAAAAATAAAACTGGCATGTTTATTCAAACATGTGTACCCACTAAACAAAGTTTTATAGTAATAAGATTGGTAATATACATACACACACTTGCAATTTCACTCATAGTTGTGTACATATGTGTATAGTATTCTTTCACTTGCTTGTGTATATACATATGTTCTTTCACTTTGTGTATGTGAATAGACATTTAAGTGTGGACATCTATGTGTACAGCAGTCTGTGTGTATGTATTTGCACGTATTCAATTTAAAAATAGAAGGTAATAAAAGAAAAATGAAAGTCTACTCTGATTCCTCTACAATCGTGTCATAATCTGGTTTGGGTCTTAGTTCATTGAATAGCTGATCTGTCTGGCTCTCTGTCATTTCTTGGAGTCGAGAGTAAAAGGCTGAGAAGTCAACATGTGCTTCAACCTTGCCATCATTATCCAGCGATAGTTTGGGTGTGGAATGGTGATGCGAATTAATCAACTTCGACTCTCCACTGCTCTGGGTTGAATTAGTGTTGGTACTTGTCAGTGAATTGTTCGTTTGTTGTGTTGACAAAGGACTGTTAGTCAGGGTTTGTGTTTTGGTTGAGGATCGGCTATTGTCACTCTCATTCAGGTTGGAAGCATTTTGTGGCTGATTATTATTGCTACCTGTGGCAAAGCTGCTACTGTTATCAACAACAGTAGGGCTAGAGATATATGGGTTTGGGGAAGGGCTTGGACTACTCTTTGACTGAGGTGTTGATGAAGGAGGGTGGTTTACATGTGAACCTGTGGAAGGGTAAACTAAATGTGGAAAGAATGACATATTCGGTGACAGGTATGGTGAACTTGGATTGCTACTAGTATTATCAACACTAGCAACATCTATTGGGTAGTTAAAGTAACGCACCAGAAGGGTGATGTCTTCATGTTTTTGTAGATTAAGTTGCTGGTGACTGCAAACAACCCGATTCACTACTGCTTGTGCAACTTTCTTCAATGGTGTTTTACTGGAAAATTCTTGAGCCACAAGATTGGCTATATAGCCATTGACCCACTCAGTAGGCTTGATGTCCTGAACTGCTTTGTACAGGCCCTGAGACATGATGATCAGGAAAGCTGTGGAGTTGTCAATTTCGTAACTCACACAGAGATCAGGAGTTGCAATCACTGGGTCAGATGTAGCATTTCTGAGGGAGGAAAAGAAAAAAAATATTCAGAAAATTGGAATTTATGCTTGAAGATATTTACAAACTTTAGATTAGAACAGGCTCATGTTTCATTTACAAAGTACTGTTTAAGATGGTGGCTATTTGTTGCCTGTTTAATTTAGCTTAGCTTTAATTATTGAATAGATTGGTACTGTTGTCAAATTTGTTTTCTTTATTTTCTCTTGCTGCTGCTTCTTTTCTTTATTTGGATTGTATACAACTTTTAAAATTTCCCCAAAAATTTGGAATTCAAAGTTATGGTTGAGGTTAAGGTTTTTTCTTCAGCACTAATCAAGTGGATTCTATGATTTGCGTGTAGGCCTGCATTCAGAGTCCCAAAACTCTTTGAAATGGTTCATCATTAGGTGGGTTTACCCATCTTTCCCCAGAGAGATAGAGGCTTTCCAAATTTCCTAAACTTACAATTTCTACTCCTACACCTATAAACTAGCTTGTTATATGAATTAAAAAAAAAAAAAAATCAAGTTAGAAATGCCAGTTGAACATCTACCCTATTTTTCCCCCCATAAATTTTTCTTTCCTGAAACCAATTAATTACATATTTCTTACTGCTCTTACATATTTCCTAAATATTTATTATTAACAAAGATGCAGCAACGTTATAGCTCAAAACAAAAGCAGTCATGCAGTAATTTTCTGTGGAATGCTTTTTCTACTGTCAATTTGAAGAGTGCGTAACTGGAAATGAACAATGTGAAGACCAAATTGAAGGAAATGTGGGGAGAAAATTGTGTTGCATCAATCTTTCAAATATGTAAAATAAATCTGAACCTAATGATTATGTATATAAATATTTATTTTACATAAATATTTTTCAATATATCTTCTGCTTTGTCAAGGCACTTAATTCAATAGGGAATATCATGTTGATCAAATATTATACAGTGAAAATTTCAGATCAATATTCAGCTAATAACACTGTATCAGGATGCAAGCCTATTGACCCATCCTCATAAGAAGGAGCCAGTTTGCCTTGAAAAATCAGCATTTTAAATCATGGCTTTCTGCCTGAGCTTGTTCCAGGATTTGAATTCATTACTTTCAGGAAATTAGATCAATACTTTCATCTGAGAAACATGAGTTAAGCAGTTTAAGATTACATCACAAAATGGAAAAAGCAGAGCTCTGATTCAGAAAAAGTTAATGATTTTGACATCTCTAGGAAGGATGCTAAACATGGCCAAAGGAAAAAGGAGGAGCATATATCCCCAGCCAGATGAAATAAAGAGTTATTTCTGTTTAGCTTTCATTGAAGGTTATTGTATATGATAAACACCTAAGAAAGAGCTGTTCAAAAGGCAAAGAAATCATTGCAAATAAGGATACAAGCCCAGAAATAATCATTGTGTAAAAATTCAATCAGGAATAGATAAAATATTTGTGTTTAAAAAAGAAAAGAAAAGAAGAATGGACATTTGTGAATATTTTACAATAGACTACTTACTTGAGAATGTCAATATCCTTATGACCTTCCTTGACACTGTAATCACCAATACAGCGGGTGTTTTCTGAGTTCCCCAGCTTATGGGACCTTTGCAGCTTGTCAACATCGACTCCAATACTTTTGAGACGAGCCAGTTCATTTTCATTATTTATGGTATGATCAACTGAAAGCTGGATTACCTGAATACCTTTATCTACCATCTTGCAGAGAAGAGCTCGTGTGTTTCCTAAAAGCAAAAAAAAAAAAAAAAGATAAAAAATAAAGGAAAAAAAAAAACATAAAATGTTAATCCTTCAAACAATAAAACCAAACAACTAAATATGCTTTAAATAATCTATATTTTTCTTTAATAAAGAAACAGGTTCATTTTCTTAATATGTCATAGTTTAATCATCTGATCCCTAAGACACTATGAAGAAGTAATTCTAATTACTTATTTATAGGAATACACAAGACATGACCCAAAAGTTTTGGAAGGAACTTAAGGCATGAGATGGGTTATTTAAAAAAAAGTTTCAAAATAGTAGAATGATTTCAATAAATGTGTGAAATGTCCAGGGGAACACAGGAAATCTTGGATAACTTGACAGATGACAAGACTAATAAATCAGTTCAAATACCCTGAATTTTGGGTAGCACTTTATATATATATATTTAAATAAGAATAAATAAATAAACAGAATAAGGGGTACAATGAATGATGATAATTAAAAGTAAAAGCTTAAGTAATGAAAGGTTAATGATGAAAGAAAGAGTGTTTTTAGTTCACATTTGAATTCATAAAGAACCAATCAAGATTGTAGCTTGTTTAAAAGTCTTTGGATTGTAAGAGGAATTTTTATATTGTGGTGGTCAAGGAAGAGGTCGATATATACAAACTTCTTGTACACTGAAAGTTTTCAGTAATTAACTTCAATCTTATATAAACATGTACCATATTCATTCTATGCCAAATTATATTTTTTCTTGTCAAAAATACTATGACATTCACAAATTCTGTTCAAAATTGGCACAGTTATAGAACTTTACAAGAAACTAGTTCAGTACCGATTGCTTTGCTGATAGCAAGATCAAATTTCAAGTACAAGTTGTTTCTAAAAATATCTCTACAAAATAAAGAATATTAAAAAAAGATATTTAATAAATAATTTTATTTAGTAGCAAATAATTCCCCCCAAATTTTCGTTTTCACACCTAGAAAGCAGAAGTATACATCATTTTAAAATACCAAAGTAGACCTTATTTAATGTATTTTTTACCTCAGAGATCAAATAAAATTGACCTTGAACTTTTGCAGCTCATTTAGCCTGTCAGCCATTTTTTTTCTTTTCTAAACTTGACATAGCTTTTGGCATTTTGTTTATTCATTTTATGAATAGCAAATGGGAACTTAGGTTGCAAAGATTTTAATGTACTAAAATATAATATCCATGACTCGAAGTTAATTAAACGGAATGAAAATTTTTCTAGTTACCTCCCTTAGAAATTAGAAATTAATATGGAAGAAAAAATTGAAGACTTTTCAGACAAGAGCATATTTATTTCTGTGCAAAAAATTTGATATTTGGCAGACTAAGAAAATGGGATGCTTTGTTAGAAAATCAGATGATCTCACACCATTGAGTCAATCTTGCAACTGAACAGATAATGGCCGGCTACATGTTTCCAAACACACCCTTCTGTTAAGGCAGCTAGTCAAACTCTGTTGCAGATTATCTGTGGTTTATACTGCAGCTATGCTGACTGGATCTTGGTTAGTTTCTGGGAGGAAGCACGTAATCTGACATGATCAACTGTATGAACAAGGCCAGTCTGCTAAAATCCTCAGTCATGATGACTAGTGACTTTCTGCTAGCATAACCATTGATGGCTTCTGAATTGTTCCGTCTACCCAATTTCACCTACAAGTCAACTTGTGGTTTGGCTTACAAGCACTTACAAAGGCACTTTATGCTGGAATTACCTACCTAGGCTGATAACATTTTTTTTTTGTTTACAAGTGAAAATGAAAATGTACTTACAGCTAAATGTAATATCTGCATATTTTAATTTTTTTATGCTTTTATTAAATTATGTAACCGCCCCACAAAAAAAAAAAAAAAAAAAAAAAAAAAAAATTTTGCAAAACAATTGCTATTGTTTAAAATATTTTCTATAAAAAAAATGAATTGCTGTGACTTAAGGAAGGTCTAGAGAATGCTAATCGACAAAAATTATTTAAAAAATTTCCTATTTTTTTTTTATGAGTGGCCCAATCTATTTAAGTAGTGGCCTTTTTTCTCAATATATGGCAATTGATGTTCTCTTTAAAGTGCAAGAATTCATCATAGAATCTTTTTATTAGATTTATTAATATTGTAAAAAAAAAAAAAATGAATAACAGGAATAAAAATTCAAGCAGAAAATAAAAAGAAGTGTGTCATGATCAAAGAAAATGATAAAACTTGAGTTTCAGATGTTTCTCATTTAATTAGTCTTTATAGAAAAATATTCTTTATTTTTAGTGTGGTTTTAAATAAAAGTTATAAAATTCATACCTATCAGTTATTTTTGTGGGAAATTTTTCTTATTACTGAAGGAAAGATTTTACAGTTGGGTGTTCTGTAATTATATGCAAGCATGAACAGTTAAGACTAGGATTCGAAACCTTAGTAATAAAAGTGACATGATTTGCAGGTTACCCAAGAGAAAATCTTAACGTGTTTGAAATTTTGAGGAAAAAAAAAAAGAGTAAAAGAATAAACCCTTTTAAAACTTACCCACATTAACTTCAAACATTTTGTTATTATGAATGAGGACAACTGTTGCAGTTGTTCCTCCAGCTAACTTTGCTTCAACATCTTGCAATTTTGTCCGAATATTTTGTGACTGTCCAAAGTTTGAATTCTGCACCACAAATAAAACAAAAATCAAAAATTTCACATTCAATATTTTAAACAATATAAAAAATAAAAAAGATTAAAGTGTTTTAAAAATTGCATTTTTGTATTATATGCAGATTTTAACCTTCAACCTTCTAGAGATGATTTTACTGGCAAAGTAAAAATGTTATCTTTCTACTGCAAGTGACTCAGATGAATAAATGATAGCATGTTTGAATTGTGCAGTTGTGCAGTTCTATGGCAACAAAAAATGACCATGACTGAAATTAATGCAGTAGAGGAGCCTTGAAAAACAATGCAGTGAAAAGGAAAGTAGTGAATAATGCAGTGTGTTAAAGGTTAAATAATACAAAAATAATTGTAACCCATATCTATTATAACAAATGAACAATTATTCAAACGAATAAAAGAAAACATTTTTCGAGATGAATGTGTGAGAACATCGAATAAGAATCAAAAGGTAACTGTGGTAAAGATAAAAAATATGACAATGTATTTATTACCTCCTGAATTTCAAATTGCAAAGCTGCTTTCTCAGAAAGATGCTCCATCACAGACTCAAAATAACCCCTCTCAACAGCAGTGAAAGCCTACAAAAACAACATAAAACATAGTATTTTAAAAACAATGTCATCATAATTACATATGTCAAGCAAATAAGATACATGCTAAAATTATAGAGGAATTGTAGAAATCAATGATTTGCCTAATTTAAGAAAAAAGGCTTAAAATGGTAAATCATATCTAGAACAGCTTTATTCTGACAGTTTCATCAAATGTACATTGAAACTGCTAACAGGGTCTTGTCAAGACATGAATATTGTCAGAAACAACATCTTTGTCTTATGTGCAAAATCTTAAAGAGCATTGGACAGGGAAGCAAAAGCTGTTACAATAAGATAGAATAATAAGATTATATAAAAGCCAATAAACCTGGACTTGGATATGAATTTTCAATCAATTATCTACCTTATATGTAGAATAATTTGTTGACAATATACAGCATGAATCAGATGATATATGTGCCATCCATCTAAAGAATACTTATCCACTAACTTTAATAATGTTTGATTTTGATTTATTTGTTTTTTATGGCTTATCAATTTTTGCAGGTTATTTAAAGCAAGAAAATATTTTTAGATAAGGATTTTTTTGGAAATAATGATTTACTGATATAAGTCATACTAATTAACCCGTAGCAGTGAGGGGGGAGAAGAGGTGGATTCATATCTTTCCCAAGGATATTTGCTTGTAAGTGAATATAATGAACCCAATTAGAATTTGAACTTAGCTCTCTGATTTCAAACTTCGAGCTGTTATCCATTACACCATCCACACATCTAAGCTCACAGCACCTGGTATTCCTAAGCAGTCACCCATCTAGGTACTGACCATGCTTAACTTTGGTGATCATAAGAGAATCACCATAAGACTTTTAATAAAGTTAAGACATGCTAATAAAAAGGAGGATGCCAATTATAAGGCAACAACAAACCTACTCAATAGAAGAGATAAAAATAAAGCCAATGTATTTGTGGTCAATAAAACATCAGTAAGTTTCTACAGTAAAACATAAGTTTCTTTTTTTCTTGCAAAGTTAATTATATATATTTAAATACCATGTCCCTTCAGGATGTAGACAATTGTAACTCATCACAGATTCCTTTATCTTTATAATTGCTATGCTTTCTTGGGAAATACAGTGGAGTAGTTTCTCAATGACTTCTCTGCAGATCCCTTTTCTTTATATGTGAATTGCTATACCTTCTTGGAAAAGATAGTGGAATGGTTTCCTGTTGCCTTCTCCATGGTTCAGTTTTCCTTTTCTTAGACTAGCCCAAGATTAGAGAGCCCAGTCTACCCTGCTGTTTTACCCCTAACTCAGGGGATAAGAAATAGATTCATGCCATCCCCAAGAGCGTTTGCGTGAAAATAAATGTGACAACCACAAATGGGATTTGAACTCTGAATAATGATCCCAATTTCAATGTTGATGACTATGTGTATGTCTATATATGTGATAATAATGTAGAAATAAGTAGATTATCTTAGTATACATTGGTTTACAAACTACTCTTGTAGACCATTGATAGTGTAATGAATTCAATATTCTTTACTGTGAGCCATATGCTAGGCTATCTGTATTATAGTAAAGAAGGTTGCTTATCTGTCTATCAGATGAAAGTTATAATTTTGATTGCTAATTTTCAAGGCCCCACTTGGCTTTGTGATTTACTCAGATAAACTTAGTAAATGCCAAATAACATGGTTGTTTAATGCAGTTCAGTATTATTCCCTAAAAATATTCCCCAATCTATTAAGTATATTCCTCACGGCTATTTAAAACCCTTGTTTTTGCCATATAGGAAAATCCAACATGGCGCGTAAACAAAATATTTGGCAAAAAATCTCATTTGTCAGTAACATTTTAAACACCTCATAGAATGTAAAGTTCTTAAAGCAAACGTGTGCCAAACTGTTTTCCCGAATCCTTGATGACTTGGCTGTCCAAAAGTGACAACATCAAGATGAAATAATGGAAAGTGACCATGAAAAACAATTATGCGCAACTAGTTTTCGATCAATCAGTAAACTTCTGGACCTTTTCAGGCGACGTTATAGGATCCAGACAGCTATTGTTTGCACATGGAATTATTCACTGGTAATTAATCTTCGATTTGGCTGTAGAAAATGTCCCTTGGCAGTTAGCATTAAGAAATTATGCCCAATTTTCTGAGAAAAATCACCTTTTTTTATGAAAAAATATTTATTTTCACTTCAAAATAATATCATTCAAACTTCATCCCTTTCTCCTTAATTTGGTGTGACTAAAAGGAACGGCTAAATGGCCTGGCAATGGGAAACATGAAAGACATGCGGCAAAAAAAAAAAAACAAAAAAAAACAAAAAACAATGTTGTCTGCTAAGTGTTGTCATCAGCCGGGTCACGGGGTGTTAAAAACAAAACAAAACATAGGTTTGAAAAAAAAAAAAACAAAACAAAATAACCTTATATCAAGCCCTACCAATGTTGACCTCATTTTTTTTTTTTCACTCTTTGCTCTTATCTGGGAGTGGTGGGTTTTATTATATGCTGATGACAACTTGTTCTAAACGTTTATTGCTGGCTGACCTTTGACCCAGATATGTCAAAGTCAATTTAGCTTAATTTTCTTTATTGCTGCTATTTTTTGAAAAAAATAAAATAAAAACTTTTGGTTTCTGGTGGTCAGGAATTGCAGATAAATCTTTCTCCTTTTACTAAAGATTTCTGTTGCTGGGTGTCAATTTTTTTAACCCCTGGCAATCATATAATTGAAAATTATCAATGGATTTTGTCGCATTTTGACCCGCTAGGAATGTTGATTTCCATCAAAACTCAATTTTATGCCTGAAATATTAGGTTGTCCCAAAAGTTCGTAAACACTTGTGAAAAATTGAATTTTTATGCAAAACAATCCAGCACAATCGAGATAAGTGATGGGTTCAGAAAGGGCAAGAGACACAGTCGTTTCCAAAACGAGATCGATTCGGCAAGAAAGTCATGTTGTGCGTTTTGTGGAACCTTGAAGGAATTGTGCATTTTCAGTTGGTTCCAAATGGTCGTGCCATCAGTGCCAAACTTTACTATCAGCAACTGGAGCGGGTCTACGAAAAGTTGAAGCAAAAGTACCCGGCTCTGATCAACCAAAAGCGCGCTTTGATGCAGCAGGACAATGCCAAGCCACACACCGCCAGGTAGACCAAAGACAAGTTTGAAGATCTGGACAGTGTTGAGGTTCTGCCACATCCAGCCTACAGTCCTGACTGTGCTCCATCAGATTACGGCCTTTTCCGCTCAATGCAACACTTTCTGAAGGGCCACCGATTTGACTCATTTGATGAAGTCGAGGAAGCGTGTCAAGAATTCTTTGATTCGAAGCCAGCTGAATGGTACTTTCACCAGATCCAAAGCTTGCAGATCGATGGCAGAAAGTCTTGGAAAATGATGGTCTTTATTTTGAGGAATAATTTTGTTGTTTTTGTTATTACTTGGCAAGTAAAATTTCAATTTTTTGCAAGTGTTTACGAACTTTTGGGACAACCTAACAGTTTGATTATGACATAGGTATTTTGATTTTCAAAAAAAAAAAAAAAAAAAAAAAAAAAAAAGGGGGTTAATTTCCCATTAATAGAACTAGAAAAAAACGCAAAATTTTAACTATTTTTTCACATTTTACCCCCTGAAAAAAAAATTTGAGTCATTTAAACCAGCCAATTTTACTTTTAAATGAAAGAATATATCCTTTGCTTTCAGAAAATACCTAGTTTCATGGGGTTCAGATCAAAAGTTTCCTTGATATTTGTTTAGATGATGATAAAAAAGTCATTTTTCAATATTTTACCCATGTAAAAGTATGAAAATTCATTTTTTCAGAGAAAATAAGCTGTGACAAAATGACTTTTGCCATTTTTGTGATGATTTTTACTTGGGATAGAAAACTTTTACCATAGCAAACCTGAATTGACTTTATTCAAGTTCAGTGGGGCTATAGGAAACCGCAAACAGCTGTGTCCTATAGTATAATACATATATGAAATATTTCTTACTATAAATTCTATTTTTAGTGGGTACACATGTGTGATTTGACATACTTGTTTATTTTCTTAAGCAGTGAAATTGATATCAGCTGGCCTAGATTGAGAATAAAAATGTACCTTCCAACACTTTAGAATTCAAAGTATAAGTATGACTACATATATTTTATTCACATCATGGCCATAAAATTAAAGCCAGTATAACTTAAATGCACCAAGAACACTGTCAAATCACTACAATACTTTACTTCATATTAACTGCAAAAAAGAAAGCTCTAAATATACACATGAACTGTTAATGTACAAATCAGATACATATCAATGATAAACTAGAAAAAAATCATCCTGAAGATTCAAGATCTCTATCTTAACCAACAAATCCATCAACTTAAATAATGGCTGATAAACTACCCTAAGCACATCATCTATCATAAAAGAGATAAGTTGAAAAAATAAGAATAATAAATGTGATTCAAATGCTTGTGTGTGTGTGTGTGTGTATGTATATATATATATATATATATATATATATATATATATATATATATATTGTATATTTAGGCAACATATTTTTCAGGTTTGGTTAAATAATTTTAATTAGTTTTCATGATCCTTTCAAGTTCACAGATTAATTTCTTGGTAGCATCAGAAAATTGATTAAGAAAAATACCCAAATTTTCTTTCAAATAGTTTTTATTTTCCCAAGTACTTTCAAACTCATCTGAGACCATCTTCAGGGTTTAAGTTGTCTGTGAGTATGTATATGTGTTTTTGTAAATTCAAAACTTCAACTGTTCATTTTTACTACTTATGCAGCGTTCTAGATTTCAAAGTTCACGTTTTTTTTGTCCCCCCCCCTGTATAAGAGAAGTAACTTTTCCATTTTTGTTCATATTTTTTTTTTAGAAGCATTTAAGGACTTTGTTGCCATACTCATAGTTGACTATTTATTTTGGGCTTTAATTCTCTTATATAAAGGGATTCAGGGATTCTTAGTTTTTGCTTATTATTGTTTTTATGTAATATAGATGTATTTTCATTTTGCATGAGTGTTCCTAATCAACATGGTATGTATAAATTATTTAACCCAACCTGTTTGAATATATATATATATATATATATATATATATATATATATATATACATACATACATAGATGTATTTGGGCAGCAATCCCTCTTTTATACAATTTTCATTAACGATGACTAACAAGTTACTGCAATTAAACTTTGATATTTAATTTTTTCTTTTGTTCATATAAGTGCTTTCTTTTCTGGATATAAAGTGCGTAAAAATTGTCCAAACACTCTATATATAAGCATTTTCGACTATTCTATTAGCCATTATCAAGGGTGTATTTATTTTTAACTGTTGGTGTAAATTTTTTCATATGTTTCTAGAATGGGATTTACTGTATGGGATTATATATATATAATTGCTGATATCCCCTGATGAGTGGATGGGGTGATTGCTGAAGGGTTCCATCTACGAAAAGTTAGAATGAGGATGCTGACGGTAACACCACTCAGCTAAGTGACAAATTTTATATATGTATTAACCATATATATATATATGATTAATAAAAATATCAAATTTGTCACTTAGCTGAGTGATGTTATTTATAGCATCATGACTCTAGGGTTTGTAAATGGACCTTTCAGCAATCGCTTCGTCCACTCATCAGGAGATATGAGCAATTATATATATATATATATATACATATATAAAAAAATCCTATGCAGTAAATGTGATAAAATCTACATTGGTAAGACTCTTAAGTTTTAAGAAATGCATCTATGGACACAAAAATATCCATAAAAATCAAAGACACATTAAATTCTGTATGCCTTTTCATAAAGAAAAGCCTTTTCACTCTATCAAACCTTTTCATAAGAAAGACTCTATCAAGCCTTTTCATAAAAAAGACTCTAAAGCCTTTTCAAAAAGACTCTATCAAGCCTTTTCATAAGAAAGACTCTATCAAGCCTTTTCATAAAGAATCAAGCCTTTTCATAAGAAAGACTCTATCAAGCCTTTTCATAAAAGAAGACTCTATCAAGCCTTTTCATTCTATCAAGCCTTTTCAAGAAAGACTCTATCAAGCCTTTTCATAAGAAAGACTCTATCAAGCCTTTTCATAAGAAAGACTCTATCAAGCCTTTTCATAAGAAAGACTCTATCAAGCCTTTTCATAAGAAAGACTCTATCAAGCCTTTTCATAAGAAAGACTCTATCAAGCCTTTTCATAAGAAAGACTCTATCAAGCCTTTTCATAAGAAAGACTCTATCAAGTTTTTGATAAATGTATTTTGTTTTTTCATTGTTCTTTTTTCTAACAACAATGCAAACACTTCTTCCCACCCCATCCATTTCTGTTGCTTTTTGAGGTTTGTGGTCAATTTTATTCATTTTTAATTTTACAAATTAAATTGATTTCTAAATTTGATTGAAAAATTTTATTTTAATCATGTGTCAGTTTGTTCTACTACTTCCCTAAAAAATGTTTCTTGTTGCTCTTGTTAGAAAAAAATTTTCACCTACGATTAATCTCTGATGGAGGGTTGGCCAAAAGGTTCCTTATTTTCCTTTTTAAGTATTAAGATGCTTTTATTGGTGCTATTTAAGGATTTAATAAAGCTTTGTAGTATGAAGCCATTGTTTATATATATATATATATATATATATATATATATATATAAAACTAATAGCACATTTATTTTAACAATATTAAATGTTAAGATTCATCAAGAACAATTTATTATAGCCTGTTTTTCCTCAGTGTAGAAATATCCTTATGTTGAAGACAGATGATAATAAAGTGTTATAATTTTGTATCCTATGATATGTTCCTAAAATAATAATAGAACTGACCTGTTGTAATACATCTTTTATTTCTTGGTCAGTTTCTTTACCAGACAGTTGATCAAACAGTAGTTCGGCAGGTATTCTTTGAGCCACAAAGTTGGAGAGCTTACTGCCATCATGGCCATCAAAAACACCATATAAAGAGCAGCCATCTTCCAAACTAAAATAAAAAGAAGATAGAATTATTATTTCTTGATAAAAAGTGTGTGTGTGTAATATGAAGGCCAGAGAGAATAACAGCTGAAATGTTAAAAACTACAATAAAAAAAGGATGAAAATCATCTGAAAGAATCAATATGTAATAGCAACACCTCATCAGAAATTAAGACAAATTAGAATTTTTCATATCATAATTAAAACATTTTTAAAACTTCTTTAACTTCAGATTTTATTGAAGTTTTAACAGAAAAACATAGAATTTTGTTTTGTTAAATAAAAAGAAATTTAACCATAAATCACTTATTTTCTTGCTTCAAATCTAATAAAAGTTACATTTGAAACAAGAAAATAAGCCATATAGATATTTAACTGAGTTGTTAAACTACAAAATAATCTGTACTGAAAATGAACATTTTTAATTTATGATCAAGCTTAAATTCTAAGATCAAACTACCTTAGTATACAGTCTATAATGAATTTTGTATGCAAATACTACTCTGATTAACCAAAATATGTAAAAAGACTGAATGTTATGCCAAAAAAACAGTTTATTTGTACAAGAAATAATTTTAAAATAAGACCAAGGTTAGGTAACTATAGAAAAAAAAAACTATATAGATTTCAGTCCCTTACTCAAAATTAATGGATAGGGTTGCTTAATTTACAATATTCGCCAAATTTGTAAAGAATTAATTTTTTTGGTTGTCTCATCCCTCTAGTTTCAAAAATTACAATGGTCTTCTCTTATTCACCATTTCACTTTATATGATTTTCTCCCCAATGAAACCTGAAATAAACAATTAAGTTTTACTTAAAAAAATTATTCCAAAGCATAAGAAGTGATGCTGGTAATGTTGATATGCCAAAGAGAATCTGTAAAGTACTTTCTTCAGGTGAAAAAGTGAAAGTTCTTTATGTAATAAGAAAAGAAAAATTGTATGCTGCAGTTGCTATGAGCCACAGTAAGAATGAATCTTTTATCCATCACATAACTTTAATCACAGTATTGTTATAATCATTCTATTTTACCATTAGTTACTGTTGTTAACTTCTTATTGTGTCTAATTTATAAATTTAGGCATCTTGGCATCAATTACTTTCCCACTGCCATAATATGGCTTCACTCTGCTTTTTCTATATTTTCATGCTAATTGTTCTGATGAACTTTCCTCTATGGTACCTAGACTTTAGGAATTTAAGTGCAGTACTAGATTGGTGGTATGGTCTCATCATTTTATGCTTGAAATGACTAGATGCAACCATGAAATTTATGCTAACAGTTTCTTCTATCACACTTCTCACTTGTGGAACTCTCTTCTAGCTTCTTGCTTCCCAGTCAACTTGGATCTTCAAAAATTTAAATGCAATGTTGTTATCTTGTGTCTTCTTAATTTCACTTCTTTTATTGTTCTCTCCTCTTAATAATATATTGTTTAACACTAAGTAAGCTCTTGCATCTTAGTGGCTTTATTGCCTTGCTTGGAGTGAAATAAAAAAAAAAAAAACCAGAAAACAAACTAAGCTTTACCATAGATATGTATAGGTAAAATAGGTGATATAAGATTTGACAATATCTACATGGGTCTTGAAATATAACCTATGCAAATAAAAAGGATTACCATATTGTCTTCTCTAAAAAGAATTTTTTTTCTCCTCTTTATTCAGAACTGAAAAATTCTCAAATGGTCACTGTCCAATCTATTTTTGACAACACACAAGATTATCTGACCAAGTCAATCAAATTTTTCAACTGAAAAATACTCTGGCGTCTCAGATTCAATTTATACTAAAAGCTAACAAAAAAGAAGAAAAAGAGTACTATACTTAAATATCATTGAATCAAACATCAAAAAATTTACTAGATAAGGCCCAAGAGACATGTTTGGGTCATTTACCTTTTAAGTACTCGAAACTATTGTTTGAATAATTATTTTATTTATTTAGCATTTGCATAGCATAGAAAAAAGAACAACAAAATATCAATTTACCTGAAACAAAAATGTCTATCTTCTGATTCATATGTTATGGAATGGCCTTGAATGTAAAGTGTTTGTGGAGATGTTCCCACACTGGTCTGCTGACACACAGGCAGATCGTCTATCCAACGATGATTACCCTTAAAAGAAGATGGAGGATTTAATACATTTTATAATTCTTGAAGTTTTCATGCATTAAGAAAAAATGGAATCATTTATGGAATCTATTTAATAGTTCTTAAGCTAACAGGTCCAATAGAAAAATTTTAAAAAATAGAAAATTTTTAAGCATTTATTAGGTTTTCCTTTACTCTAGACTTTGTCAGAATAGAAAAATATTGAATTATTTTTTTATCATTTTAGAATGGGGTCCTGTTCATAACATAAATATTATTAAATTGATCCCTGACTTCTTAAAGAGTTATCTATAATTTTTTTATTATTTACAAATGTAACTTTGAAATTGTTTAATAAATGTGTACTACTTATGCTGTTCTTTTTCCCAATTTATAATAGTATACAGTTATCAATGATATCGATGAATTTGAACTTGGCTCTCCAAGTTTGAATTCCAGTCGAATCTATTACATTCACTTATGTGCTAATACCCTTGGGAAAGGTATGAATCCTCTTCTTCTCCCCTCAGCTATAAGTAAGTAGCAAGACAGACTGGGTTCTATAGCCTTGGATGGCAACTGATCTAATGCAGAAAGAATTGGAAACCTACCGTGGGAAAAAAATCTGCCTTGTCAGTCATGTATTGAAAGGTATATGATCGCCCAAGCATGTATCACACATGGCACATAACTGACTATCAATGATATAAGCACAGTTTTAAACTTGATATTTGTAAAATAAAGTCAAAATAGTAAACTTTTTGTGGTCATCAAATTAAATTCAGTGATTGATTACATATGAAGAACTCAGTTTTGTGGAAGCATGATTTATTCAGCCAGTATTTGTTTTTGATTAAGGGATACCATGGTTTCACACTGTAATTTACTCTAAAAATGAACTCTTGTAGCCTGCAGCTAATTTTCTATGAATAATGTGGCCCTTCACATTTTTTTAATTATGCAGGCATGTTTTAGAGGATGAACCAATCTACTCTGCACTTCTTATGACTGTGGGGAAAAAAATTCTTCTCTACTTGGTAAATAGATAGTAGTGGCTGTTGACTCACAAAGTGAGTATAACCATCACTGGCATGTCTAGTCCATCAGTTAAATTCCCCCACCCCACTGTATTCATTGGTTGTGTGAACAACAGTGGCTCATAAAGCCAGTTATTGAACTGTATTTCTTGTTACATATGTGGCATATCAAATTATCTCTGGGTGGTGGAAATTGACTTTGAACATTATCACTTCCAATGTATCTTTTTATATGCCTTGTCAGGCCTGACCTGGACTTGCACACTCTAGTGCAGGTCGGGCATTCAAAGTATGCCATTATGAAATCATCATACGCAATAGACTGTTGGTTTTGGTGTGATTTCTGGTGACTTAGCAGATCTGCCCTGGACAGACATATCCGATTGCACTGGGCACATGGCCAGGTTGGCACCTCATGGCAATTCAGGGATCCCTTCTGAACCCCTCTCTTCAGTTCTGCATATTTTTGTGATGCCTCATGGAACATCTTGACACCATCACCAATACCAGCTGTCCAAGAAACCCAGAACCCAGTCTTCAGCTAGAGTCTCTCAGTTATCAAGACCAATATTGCACTTGTATAGTGACTCTTTAAGACAATCTTTGTAACAAAGTTTTGGCTTGTGCTGCAGTCATTTTCCCCATATCCAATTCTCCATAAATTGTTTTGGCATCCTGTCATCTGCCATACGAATAATATGGCCTGCCTATCACAATCTGTATTGTGTATAATTGCTTCTACAGAGAGTGAATTGGCCCTTTGTAGAACAACAGTATCAGGAGTGCGAGACATCCAGTGGATTTCAAGCACAGACCAAAAGCATCGTTGATGAAAATATTCCAATATCATCAGATGTCTGCAATAGACTACCCATGTCTCACATGAATATAGCAGAGATGACATAACACAGGTATTATATATTTTAATTTTTTTCTGCTTTTTTATGCTCTTCTGACTCTAGACAGGGAACTTGAGGCCTTCTTAATTCTATGAATCTTTGAGAAGTATACTCTACACGATTCCAAAAGATGAAAAGATTGTCCTCCTTGGTGACTTCAACACTCAAGTTGGTGCAGATTGAGAGACCTAGAGTAGTTTAGGGAAATATGGCATTGGGAAAATCAACACCAATGGTTTAATGCTTCTTGATCTCTGTACAGAGTTTAATCTTTTCATCTCCAGCACTCAGTTCAATCACAGGGCTGATCATGTTACTATGTGGATGCATCCCTGTTCACACCAATGGCATCCCATTGATTATGTCATCATCTGCAAGAGATAGATGCAGGATGCCCATATCGTTAGATCTATGCATGGTACAAATTGTTGGACTGATCATGCCCTAGTGAGTAAACATAGGAATCACTAAAACAATGACTTACTGAAAGCAATGATACATCTTCATAGGACTCTTTGAAGAGGAATATATATGAAGTGGCTGAAGAAGTTCTGGGTAAAATGCCAGTAAAACGTTGAGACTGGTTTGATGAAAATGATGATGCTATCAAGGAGATCATTGCAAGAAAGAATCAGATACAGAGTTTAATGTTGCAAAAAGGCCTGTCTAAAGAGTAAACTGTGGAAAGAGTTTAAAGCTGCAAAAGCAGAAGATCAACATGCTCTTTGAACTATGCAGGAAAATTGGTGATCAGAGATAGCAGATGAAGTAGAGAATGCAGTGAATTCAACTAATACCAAGCAGTATTTGGCACCAGATCAACCAAGGTTGCTTCTCTCAGGACAGAGGACGGCAATAATCTCCTCAGACATGGATGGCATGACCAAAAGATGGAAGAAACACTTTGATGGGCTACTGAATAGACCTTCAAATGTGGACCCTGAGGTTCTCAAGAAAATACCCCAAAAACCTATAGTGGTAGAACTTGACAGCCAATCATCACTGGGTGAGGTTCTGTGTGGCATAGAGGGACTCAAATGGGCAGAGCTGTTGGGGTTCCTGCTGAGATATTCCACTATGGTGGAACTCATGCATGATCATATTGTAAAGATTTGGATAGATGGAGAAGTGCTGAAAGATTGGAGTGATGCAACAATGATACACATATATCAGGGTAAAGGTGCCAGGGAATTATGTGGTAATTATAAAGGGATTGCTCTCCTTTCTTTGGCAGGTAAGATCTTAGCCTTTGTTCTCCTATTAAGATTAAACCAGAGAATAGTTGACAATATACTGCCCGAGTCACAGAATAGTTTCCGCCAACACAGAGGGATTGCAGATATGATTTTCACAACACGAAAAATCCAGGAAAAGAGCTGCGAACAACAATTGGACCATTTTATCAAATATTTGTAAATCTGAGGAAGGCTTTTGACACTGTTAATTGTGCTGCTCTTTGGAAAATCCTCTCAAAATTGGGCTGTCCCCACACTTTCAAGATTCTGAGATCCTTCCATGACAGTATGGAAGCCTGAATCAGTTTGGGCAGTATGCTTATGGGGTCCATCAAGGTTGAAAATGGAGTCAAGCAGGGAGATCATCTAGCTCCTATACTGTTTTCTTTGCAATTGTACTGTTTGATGTGTTCAGAGACTGCCATGATGGTATTATGATAAAGTACAGGTCAACTAGCAAGCTTTTCAACATATGTAGGTTTGCAGCAAAGACAAAAGTCTTTTTTAGTTTAGTGCACAATCTTCTCTACGCCAATGACTGCAACCTGGTTACACACACAATTCAGGACACACAGAAGTTCATGGATCGACTATCAGGATTATATAAATCTTTTGGACTGTCCATCAGCCTTGACAAGACAGTGCTGATGTATCAACCTACCCGAGAAATTCTGTATCAATTTATGTTGATGGTAGTCGACTTGGAGTAGTAGACAAATTTGTATAACTTAGTAGCACCCTCAACTGCCACTGCTCCCTTGATGATGAGATAGCATTACAGATTATATAGATACACACACACACAATGATTGTAAATTGATATGTAATTAATTTTGCAATCTTTTTACCCTTCTTTAGGCATTATTATATTTTGTATAATTTTTACACTTTCTTTGTTTGATACTATTTTTATTATCTCTCTAGACATTGTTTTGTTTGTTATTTTACCTTTGCCAGGTTTACGTCAAACACTGCATATTACAGTGCAGTTGTTTTAATATTTACTAAACGTACAAAAAATATAAGTGCAAAAAAAAAAAACATTTTAGTTGTAAAAATACACCAAAATACATACAAATACAGCTTGACGTGTACAAGGGAATGCTAGTGCTGCTAGGGTAGAAATTGTCGTACATCAAGCTGACAGACACTCAAGACACCAATTTGCAGTTGTAGCCATAAGTCAACAACTATATATATATAAACATTTACCGGCCTGAATGTCCGAGAAATTTTCATAGAAAATCCTGTCAAAAAGAAAAAATTTTCTATGAAAATTTCTCGGACATTCAGGCCGGTAAATGTTATTTAATACTGTTTATCATAAACAGAGCATTTGCTTAAATACTTGTATCTATGAAATAACAACGTTAAACATAAAAATATATATATATATATATATATATATATAATATATTATATATATATATATATATATAAAATGGTTTGCCTTTATCAAGCATAGACCTTACAAGTTATAATTGCAATGCAAGAATAAATTGTGACTTATGGTATCAAGCAATACCTGTGCATGAAATTTTTAATTGGAGAAAGTTGTTGCACTGGGTCAACCCCACTCTCTGAACAAAAACTGCATGTACCCAAAAAGAAGAACCAGTCATCATTGGATACTACCAAGCTGCAGGTATGATATAAGAGCTTTCCTTCTAATTGGCAAAATGGTCTAACACCCCTCGTATGCTTACTGCACACCTAAACACCAACCCAGATATTTTTACATCTCCACACTAGTGCTTGATCACATTAAAGAATTCATCCACTCTTTGACAGGGTTGTAAGGGTACCAGATATACTGTAACCATAGCAGTAGCAGTAGTGTGTCTAAGGCAAGA